AATTATAGCAGCTATAGTATTGTAAGAAATGAGGCCCACAACACCTGTAAGTTGGTTGTGATTATTTTATCGGCACTTTATGAAGACAGTCCTAAAAGGAAAACATGTTCCCGGTTTGTGGGTTTTGTTTGTTTTTAAGTCACCAGCTACCCTCCACATGAAAACCAACTGCATCAGCACTAATATATTTAGAGGTGCTTTGCCAACGGGCTTTGGCTTTATGGGGAAGAGAGTGCTGAATGTAGTGGAGAACGCCGGGACTTCTCGAGTGCCAGGGAATAAATATTATAGTGCATCTTGGTGTAAACAGCTACAAATATAGAGCAACCCCACTACATTTTTATTTCTTAATTAATTGGAAAAGGATAAGAATCCCAATAGAGCCTTGTCGCCTAGAAGAAAACTTGATGTTACCACTTGGGGAAGTCTGTTCAAACTTCACCATATTTGAACTCTAATACTTGACCCCAATGGCTTTTTAGCAGACCTTTTAGGCAGGAAGATGATAGGCAACGGAGGCAAAGTCTGAATTTTTTTCCCCTAGGAATTCAAAGATAAATACAGTACATAATATGAGGGGCATTCATTAAAGATTTCCCCTGATCCACTTCTATTTATCACAGGGCGCTGAGACTGCACGTGTGTAATTATATAAGTCTCTATAGGTTACATGCCAATTTACAACTCAGAACTGATAACGGTCTTGGTTTTATAGGTGCTGAAGCGATGTGAGGTTTGAGAATGGACTCAGAGGAATACAGACCATCCTCAAGTTCCTTTCCTTGAAAGGCCACACACCAAAGGAGACATTTGATGAGATGAAAGAAGCTGATGGTGAGGATTCCCCATCATATGATGTAGTCAAGAATTGGCATTGTCAATTCAAATGTGGTTGGACTTCGGTGGAAACAGCTCCAATTCCAGGGTGACCCCACTCTGCTATAGATGAACACACCATCCAGCAAGTGGAGGGTGCCATTTTGGAAAATGGCCACGTAACCATTCATTGCTTAGCCCAAAATGTCAACATTAGTGTCGGGTCTGTGGAAACAATAATCCAAGACCATCTTCACATGCATAAGGTATCCGCTCACTGGATCCCCTGACTGCTCATACTTTTCCAGAAGCAGGAATGAGTGGAGTGCACTCAGGCTCTATTGATTATGTGCCATGGAAACCAGGAAGACTTTTTCAATAGACTGATCACACAGGATGAAAGCTGGATCCATCACTATGATCCTGAGACTAAAGTCCAGTCCTACAATGGAAGCATCATGACTCATTGCCTCCAAAGAAGGCACGTGCCCAACTCTTGGCAGGTAAGGTCATGCTCACAGTATTTTGGGACCAGCACGGAGTAGGATTGATGGATTTCTTAGCAAAGGGGACCATAATCAATGGGGCATACTATGCTTCACTGCTGCGGAAATTGCGGGAGGCCATCAAAACCAAGAGAAATTGTCGTATGCTCACCAAAGATGTCCACCTTCTGCAAGACAATGCACCAGTTCACAAAAAACATGTTGCCCAAATGGAAGACGAATGCTCCTGTGGCTTTGAAATTCTACCACATCCCTCTTATCCACCCGACCTCGCACCATGAAACTTCCACCTCTTTCCAACAAGGAAGTTATTTTTGAAAGGGAAGCATTGCTCAGATGATGAGACTCTGATTTCCGAAGTCACAACGTGGCTTTTGGAGCAACCTGTCGACTTCTACAAGGGAAGTGTTTACAGTTGCTTAAAAAGATGGAGAAGCGTGTGTCCCTAGGTGGCACCTATGTAAAGAAAGACTAATAACTGTTGCTCTCGGTCTACAGGAAGTGGATCATGGGAAATCTTTAATTAATGCCCCTCGTATATTCCCAAACTTCTAGAGGCTGGATACATGAAGACAACAACTACTTGTGGTTCAATTCACCAAGGGATATTTTGATGCTAGCAGTTTCTTTTCATTCTTTTTCACCTAATGTCTCTGTTCCAACCCCATAAATGCAAGCAGATTCCCTATGACAATTATATCCAAGTGCATTTTCATTCTCCACCCCCATTCCCAAATTTAAAGGCATATTGTACCATTTCACTCAAACTGGGAGTAAACTTTGCTGAACCATGTGCAGCAACGCACTTTGAGACACCATGAAGCAGCAGCATATTTCTGCACAAGGAAGCATACAAAACACAGTACTTCATTTTCTGGTACATATGGGGACTAATAGGAGGGGAAAACAATCAGAAAGGTTCATGTCTGTTGGGAGCACACTGGGCTCAGATTTTTCAGCTCAAAATACAGTCAACTGACAAATAGTGGGTTGTTTTGAAGAGAGCACAGCGCTAAGTGAGATACTTCAACCAGTTAAATGGTTTGCATGTGGAAAATGGCTGGTTGGTTTCCGTAGGGCTGGGTACCTAACAATGCCCATATGAACCATCTGCAGTATATCTAGCTGCGTACATACTACAAACCCAGTGCAAATAAAGCAGTCAAAATGCAGTTCATGTTTTAAAAAGTGCAAAACGTCCTCAAATCCCAGCTGCGGAGTCAAACAGGCTCACTTTCCATCGTCTCGCAAAAGCTTCAAAAGTGGAATGAAATCAAACAAGGCCCATTTATCTGGTTCACATTTTGGTGATCTCCTTTCAATGTATCCCAGCTACGTATGACATTATTTGCAAAACGAAATGAAGCACTCAGTTTCAAAAGGAAAGTCTATACGAGCAAAACATTGCTTTTTTAAACACTTCGTGCCTTTCAGACTTTTGCCCAATTTTATTTGGACAGAGCTAAAAAGACCTGGATGTCCTCGAAGCTGAAAAATAAAATGCCCTTAAACCCCACGGTGCAGCACAGCAAAAACTCCTGTGTATTAAAGCTTGCAGACCGCTAGCAGCATGACGGGGTTTGTTATTATTATTATTATTATTATTATTATTATTATTATTATTATTATTTTAAAAAGACCCCCCCCCCCCATTCCAGAAGACTTTCCTTTCAAAATTAAGGCTAACAATGTCTTTTCAAATGCATTCTCCCACCGATAGTGGTGTGAAACAGTGCCGCTTGCGCATCGCAAAAACGGACCATTTTGTTTCCTCCTTTGCAACAGCTTATTGCACTAAAAATAGTAAAAGAAGTTGTCAGTTCTTTTAAAACGAAACAGTTGTCTCTCAACATAAAAACGGATGTTGCCCATACACTGATTTAAATTAAAGCATTAATATTATTATTATACTCTAATAAATATAAAAAGAGGAAGCTAAACCTCAAAGTACATGTATATATAGATATAGATATATGCAATCACATTAAAGTGAGAGGCAGCAAGTCAACTAATCCATTTTTTTAAAAAAAGAAAAAAGATCTCCACTCTTTTCACCTGTACAGGAGTGATTACAAGCCATCCTGCAAATCAGGGGAGAATCAGATGTGCCCAAAAGGTACGAGAATTATTCGGAAAGTAAGGTTACAAGGCACCTAGCTCTGGCGGGGAATTTTCGCAGGGGAAGTTGATATCGCTGCCATGTAGCGGGAAGACAGAGGAAGCAAACGAGCAGTGTCAGTAGCTCATCGACTGGCATTGTGGTGAAGGTTAGAGATGAGCATCTTCACTCCGTTTCCCTCCAAATGTGAAGTTTGCGCTGTAATATGCTACCTAAATGCTAAGGGCATGAAAGAGGCTGTGATTCATCGCAAAATAATTTCAATTTATGGAGAGGACGTAATGTCAAGACAGCATGTGACAGAATGAGTACAGAATATATTGTGAGACCATGAAGAAACTTCGCAGAGCCAGTCAAAACAAACGTCGTGGGATGTTGACAGTGGGAGTCTGTCTCCTTTGTGACAATGCAAGTCTCCACACCGCTCATGCAACACAAGAGTTGTTGACTTCATTTGGTTGGGATGTTTGAAGTCACTCCTCTCAGTCCCAATCTTGCACCCAGTGACTATCATCTGTTCACTAAATTGAAGGAACACCTAGGTGGAAAACACTTTTCCAGTAATGATGAGGTGAAAATCAAAATGACGAACTGGCTGAAAAAGGTGGAGGAAACTTCTATGACACAGGCATCAAAAACTTGTCCCATGGATGACAAAATGTATTGAACTGAATGGTGATTATATGGAAAAAATAATGTAATTCCTATGCTACAATCCATGTAAGTTTTAATAAAATATATTCATTTTTTGTATTTTAAAAAAATCTTCTAACCTTACTTTCCAGATAACCCTCATACATATGCACGGCACAGAGGATGGGAAATCAGCTGGAACCTCTGAAGAAGGAGAAAGCAGCAGCATCATTAAATTCACCAGGCTGTGTTGATACCGCTGGCATAAATGTACACAGTCGGTTTGGTTTTTGTTACTGAAACTAACTTGAGCTGAGCGACTCCGAGTTTTGAAGACAGACACGGAAGGCAGCAGTTGGCTAAACTACATTAGGATTGGTGGACTTGCAAAACACACCACACCTTCTCCCATGACAGTCGACAGGGCTGTCCCTTCAAATACACACTCGATATGGTCACAGTCAAGTGTGGACAGCCACCTGCGACCCACAGGGGTACAAAGAGATAAAAACGTCTTTGCACATTCTCCCTACCAAACGTATCCCCCCCACCCACCAATCTCTCTGATTGTTCCTATTCATTTTAATACCATAATAATTATTCTTTCTTCTTCTTTTTTTGCAGAAAGAGTTGTGCTGCTGAGCAACTTGAGGTAAAGGCATCAAAAAGGGTTCTGGACTACAATGGAAAAAACACACACACAAAGGAAAAGACGACAACAATGATGGCAGCGCTTCCCTTAGAAGGCTGCTTCAAAAGCAGTTGGCTGGTTTCATATTGCATAATAGTGCCGTGTCCTTGGTGACGTAAACAATCTTCCTTGCGTCAAGGCAAGGATAAGGCCTGGCCCCCTGCCTCCCTCCCTCCCTCCCCGCAGATCAGGTTCAGCCCCAGCAGAGGCATCCCACCCACCCCACTAACTGACCTCCGCCCCCCTGGAAACATACACTGTATGTGGCTTTAATTCTGCATTTCTTCCTTTTTGTGAATAGACTCTGTTCTCGTAATTTTTTTTCTTAATTAAGCAAAGTACATGGTGCGTAAGGTGTCTTGGTGAATCTGTACAGCCTTAGCAAGGGCTTGAGGATCTCTCCCATTGCTCTGTCCTGAAACATGACTTCCTTCAGCACTGCAAGTGGGGAAAAAAAGAGAAAGGAGAGAATTAGCAACATCCTTACCATTCAGAACGGCTGGGATATGCTCCCTCATTGTGCTTTCAGGTATCTAAGTTGCAAATATAGAAATCCTATTAGCTAGCCATAATATTTATTATAAATTCTAATAGCTGAACAAAAGTCAACAGTGTGATGCGGCAGCTAAAAAAGTCAATGCTAACAAAATGAATTTCAACAGGGAGAAATGTATAGCACTACACTTAGCACTTTACACTTTAAATCCTGTGGCTTGTCAGAAATATTAAAAATTAACTAGGTATTTTTAATTACAAAAATGTGAGTCAAGCACTGAAAGGGTTAAAAGGATGCAATGACTCAGCAAAATATCTATCTAGACATCTCTCTCTCTCTCTCTCTCTAGATAATTGTATCAAAATAAATTTCAAAATAAAAATAGATACCAATAAAATTACATTAATTGAAGTATTGGTAGGTTAAATGTTTTTGAATATTTACCGTATTTCAAAGAATAACAGTAAACTAAATCTGTAAGTGGAAAAGTAGGGTCAACAAAAACAATGTGGCATCAACAATAACATAATAATAATAATAATAATAATAATAATAATAATAATAATAATAATAATAATAATAGAACTTCATTTGTATCCTGCCCTATCTCCCCATGGGGTCTCAGGCCAGCTTCCAACATAGTAACAGGCAAACAGTCAACGCCTATATAAACAATGCAGAGGTAGATACAGATTTATAATTAATTATATACTAATTTCACATATGCATTTCCCCCCAAATGTTTGCAAATCCTCTCTCTATATATGTGCATTTCCATCCTGCAACATTTGTGAGCCCTATATATCTATATTCATATATATCTATCTAGACATATCTCTCTATATAGATAATTGCATCTATATAGGATTTGCAAAGACTTGCAAACATGTGAGGGGAAAATTCATATACAAAACTGTATATATATATATATACACACACACACATATACATACACACAGATATACAGATATATACTGATCGATATCTATATAGGATTTGCAGAGACTTGCAAACATGTGAGGGGAAAATTCATATATAAAAATAATGTATACATATAGATACAGATATACAGGTACATGGAAATCTCCCTCCCTCTATCTATCTATCTATCTATCTATCTATCTATCTATCTATGGTTTGCAAAGAATTCAGGCGAAACATGCATATATAGAAACATATTTATAGATCTAGTGGGCTTAAAAAAATCTCCACCCCGCTTCCTAAGAGCCGTAGCAAACTAGGATTTTGCGAGAGCAAACTAAGCCAGCACGAGCTATGCTCCGCCTCTTTCTCCGCCTATTTCTCTTTGCTATGGCAGAGTTGCGAGCGTACGCTCGTGCTGCAGCAAACTACAGGAAGCTTGCGCTCGGGCTTGCTCCGAAGCCCCGCCTTTTTCCCCCCCAAGGCTGCTCTCTCTCTTGCTAGTGTGCCTGTTTTCCATTGCAGAGGGCAGGGATGCGAGCGTACGCTCACAGTTGAATTCTGCCAACTGCGAGAGTACACTCGCATCGCTTCCCTAGCAAGGGAAAACAGGCACACTAGCAAGAGAGAGAGCAGCCTCGGGGGAAAAAAGGCGGGGCTTCGGAGCGAGCTCGAGCACAAGCTCGCTCTCGCTTCCAGTAGTTTGCTACGGCTCTAACTTGCAAGGGCTTCTCCTCCCCTCCTTTTCCTTTTCAAAACATTCCCATTTCAAAACAATCTCTCTCTTTCTCTCTCCGTCTTAAAAAAATGGGCAATTCTAGCCTTGGAAAAGAAGCGGAGTAAGGAAACCTTTGGAAAACAAACACATTGTTAAGGGAGGAGAGAGAAACATATAATATATTGCAAGCAGTGGCCTCCAGGCTCCATTATCCAGTTGAGGGAGTCTTTATACGGTAATAGGTTGTTGTGGTGAATCTTACCTGGTAGGCTGGAAAGGGAGCCTGGATAATAGTAAGGCAGGCCTCCATTTTGGGATGGAATGCCAGGAAGGCAGCCATCATGAGTGAGGATGGTTGGAAGAGGGGAGGAGTTGGGAGACTCCTAGCATTGGTCAGAGCAGTTGGGAGGAGCCAAGTCGGAGGACGGAAAAAATGTAGCTTCAGGGGGAGTTTAAAACTGGGTTTTTTCCTTCAGGGAGAGAGCTAGGTGAGAGAGTGTCTGTGTTAGGCAGTGCTGTGAGCTGACAGGAAAAAGGCCAGACAGCAGTCTGATCTCTTGTGAGAGTTAGCACAAGAGATTGGCTCTCCAGGCTGGGTTGGTTAACAGAAAGAACTCTAGGGTAGAGTTAGTTAATAACCCAGGGGCTACCTAGATAGGCTAGTCAGACTCATCACTATTCTCTGAAATAGAGCGAGGGTTTTGTTACCAACAGTTAGTTCTGTTTGGTTAGCTCTGTCTAGAACAAAGTGAAGAGAACTGTTCAAGCAACCAATCAAGCTGAAGTACTTTTGTAACAAGTCACGCTTTTTGTACCTCTCAGGAGTGGTTAGTTGTCTGTTTTAAAAATAAATCCTATTCTATCTATCTATCTATCTATCTATCTATCTATTATTATTATTATTATTATTATTATTATTATTATTATTATTAAACTTTATTTGTACCCCGCTAGCATTGGAGGTAAATTTCAGGCAAAAATTGGCATGATAAGAAACAAAGATGGCAGGGACCTAACAGAAGCTGAAGAGATCAAGAGAAGGTGGTGAGACTATGCAGAAGATCTGTATGGGAAGGATAATAATATCGAAGATCATTTTGATGGTGTGGTGAGTGAATTAGAACCAGATATCCTGAGGGGTGAGGTTGAATGGGCCTTAAGAAGCATTGCTAACAACAAGGCAGCAGGAGACGACGGGATCCCAGCTGAACTGTTTAAAATCTTGAAAGATGATGCTGTCAAGGTGATGCATGCCATATGCCAGCAAATATGGAAAACACAAGAATGGCCATCAGACTGGAAAAAATCAACTTATATCCCCATACCAAAAAAGGGAAATGCTAAAATACGGCTCCAACTTTTGTACAGTGGCCCTTATTTCTCATGCCAGCAAGGTAATCTCATGATCCTGCAAGGAAGACTCCGCAACACATGGAGTGAGAGTTGCCAGATGTTCAAGCTGGGTTTAGAAAAGGCAGAGGAACTAGAGACCATATTGCCACTATCCGCTGGATAATGGAGAAAGGCAGGGAGTTTCAGAAAAACATCTACTTCTGCTTCATTGACTATTCTAAAGCCTTTCTGTGTGGATCATAATAAATTGTGGCAAGTTCTTGGTGGGATGGGCATCCCAAGCCACCTTGTCTCTCTCCTGAGGAATCTGTACAAGGACCAAGTAACAACAGCAAGAACTGACCACAGAACAACAGACTGGTTCAAGTTTGGGAAAGGCGTACGGCAAGGCTGCATACTCTCACCCAACCTTTTTAACTTGTATGCAGAACACATCATGCGATGTGCGGGGCTTGATGAATGCAAAGCTGGGGTGAAAATTGCTGGAAGAAACATTAACAACCTCAGATATGCAGATGACACCACTCTGATGGCCGAAAGCGAGGAGGAGCTGAGGAGCCTTCTAATCAAGGTGAAAGAAGAAAGCGCAAAAGCTGGGTTGCAGCTGAACATCAAAAAAACCAAGATTATGGCAACAAGAATGATTGACAACTGGAAAATAGAGGGAGAAATTGTGGGGGCCGTGACAGACTTTGTATTTTTAGGTGCAAAGATTACTGCAGATGCAGACTGTGGCCAGGAAATCAGAAGACGCTTACTTCTTGGGAGGAGAGCAATGTCCAATCTCGATAAAATAGTAAAGAGTAGAGACATCACTCTGGCAACAAAGATCCACATAGTTAAAGCAATAGTATTCCCTGTAGTCACCTACGGATGTGAGAGCTGGACCATAGGGAGCTGAGCGAAGGAAGAGAGATGCTTTTGAACTGTGGTGCTGGAGGAAAGTGCTGAGAGTGCCTTGGACTGCGAGAAGATCCAACCAGTCCATCCTCCAGGAAATAAAGCCCGACTGCTCACTGGAGGGAAAGATACTAGAGACAAAGTTGAAGTACTTTGGCCACATCATGAGGAGACAGGAAATCCTAGAGAAGACAATTATGCTGGGGAAAGTGGAAGGCAAAAGGAAGAGGGGCCGACCAAGTGCAAGATGGATGGATGGCATCCTTGAAGTGACTGGATTGACCTTGAAGGAGCTGGGTGTGGTGACGGCCGACAGGGAGCTCTGGCGTGGGCTGGTCCATGAGGTCACGAAGAGTCGGAAACGACTGAATGAATGAACAACAACAAAAGCATCTCCCGAAGGACTCGATGCGGCTTACAAAGGCCAAGGCCTCAACACACAATATACAATACAAAACCAAAGGCAAATTAAAAACAATTAAAGCAATATAAACAACAAGCAATAAACAATACACTAAGACACAATAAAACTGGGCCTGGCCAGAGTAATGGGTACAGGATTAAAAGTGCTGATGTGACAGGTGATATGTAAGGCTACTAGGGCAAGTGCAGTGTGCAGTGTGCCAACAATCTTAGTTCTACTAAAGTGCTTGGGACTTGGTATTGGAGATTTCCTATTCTGGTAAGGCACATCAGAACAGCCAGGTCTTCAAGTTCTTTCTGAAGACTGCCAATGTAGGGGCCTGTCTAAGATCTTTGGGGAGGGTGTTCCAGAGTCGGGGGGCCACCACAGAAAAGGCCCTGTCTCGTGTCCCCACCAACCGCGCTTGCGACGCAGGCGGGATCACGAGCAGGGCCTCTCCAGATGACCGAAGTGAACGCGTGGGTTCGTAGACGGAGATGCGGTCATGCAGGTAGGATGGTCCCAAACCGTTCAGGGCTTTGTAGGTAAGCACCTGCACCTTAAATTGGGCTCGGAAAATAAACGGCAGCCAGTGGAGCTCCTTGAACAGGAGGGTTGACCTCTCTCTGTAAGGGGCCCCAGTTAACATCCTGGCTGCTGCTCGTTGGACCAGTTGGAACTTCCGAGCCGTTTTCAAGGGCAGCCCCACGTAGAGCGCATTGCAGTAGTCCAATCTGGAGGTGACCAAGGCATGGACCACCCCGGCCAGATCAGCCTTCGCGAGGTACGGTCGCAGTTGGCGCACGAGTCTCAATTCAACAAATATCAACAATATATAACTTTCAACAAAGTCTCTACTGTACATCATTCCATCGTCAAGCTTTTGTGATAGTTCCAGCAATTTTAACACCCTGTTGCTACAGAAAAGCCTCTCAACGAACAGATGTTTGGGAGCCAGGGATAAGAGCAGTGTTGGAAGGAGTGGGAAAAGTTCACCTCAATTTTTTTTTGAAAATCCTAAAACACCTTAGGTTGGTGGCAGCTTTAATGCAAAAGAGAGTTTAAAGACAAGCAGTGTTCACTTCACCATAACACATATCCATCATCGTCTCGCTATCATATTGGAGGCACAGGGGTGGGATTTTTCCTTTTTTTAAGGAAAGGAAAACCTCGGGGAAGATCCATCCATAATATTAATAAGTCTCCAGCCTCGCGTCTTTTGTTATAGTTGTCATACTTAAACATTCTGGAAACTAACCCAGGGCTCAAATCAAGTGCTTGCCACACATTAAGAAGATGACTGCCATCACTCCACTCACCTGTCATGTTCTTTGTCAACAAGGTGATATCTTGCTCTGAATGCCACCAGATGAGCGTAATAAGCTGGTGCAGGGATGGACACAGAGCGTGTGCAGCGTACGTAAGTGTGGCAGAGCTGGTAGGTGAGCAGCTGAAGTTCGTCCGCTGTAAAACAATTATCATCCCACAATACATGGTAATGTGAGGGGCGGCTGGTACCCTAAGGAAAAGGGAACATGGATTCAAAGAGTCAAATACACTTTCTATGATATCTCAAAATGACAACAATTTCCCATTGCAGTGACACTAGCCCAATTGTAAAGGTTATACACCAACTGTACAGGGCTGCCACCAATTGTAAAGTCTGCACGCACCAGTTGTACAATTGTGCTAATTGCGAAGGTGCTGCAATTACAACAACAGACAGGGTGTAGGGCTTTTAACTTTAAAGAACCCACCCACTGTCACTAATTGTACTGTCTGCTCTTAAATTCTGCCACCAGTTATGCAGGTGTGGATAATTATAAATGTAATTCAGGTATCTGCCACCAACGTGAGGTATTGCCGATGAGAACTAGCTCCCCAGATGCAGATAAATGTAGATGACACGGTCTTCAAACAAAAGTTAATAAGTTTATTTTGTACAAAGCGTATGGTTGCAGGCTGGTAGTTAACTTGGAATAACTTTGATTAACTTGTAGAACTTTAAATGTGACTTGGTTTGCAATACAGTTCTCTCTTCTCGATGATACAACTTGTAACTGACTTTTACTGTGGTGAGGTACTTTATTAACAATGTTTCTTAATGTGAATAGCCTTCTGATTTGATCTCTTCTTGATCAAACCCCAGATCTCTAGTTCTTTCCTAACTAGTGATCTAAACAAGCTTCCCTTAGCCCTCTCTGACTAATGAAACTAATTAGGTTTCCCCCTTCAGCCTTCCTAGACTGAAGAAACCTCTGGCTATTCACACACACTGCTTCTCCACCCTCCTCACTCAACTGCTCACTCCGACTCCAAACCCCCAACTGAACTGCTTCATTTCAAAACGCAGATAACACTTTCTTGCTAGGCTCCGCCCACTTCTCCTCTCTGAGCTAGCCTGCCTGGTTTCCTTGGCAACGCCCTGTGGATACAACCAGTTAACTCTAGCTTTCAGCTACTGTTACCAAAACAAATATATTCTTTCAGTTAAACATTTATACAGTATCAATAACTTCTGTACACCCATATTTACTGCTTGTCAGGAAACTTGACAGTGTACTTTTAAACATATATGGTTTTTGTGGAGGTGAGAAAAGGAATGATACACTCTTGATTCACTGTTGCCCATCAGAACTTTAAAGGGAACTTTGGACGCCATCCACTGCGCATCCCCAAGAAAGCATCACAGCTTATCTTATGACTCACTTCCTATAAAGTCTTCAAATAAAAGCACATAAGAGCATTAATAAACTTTAAGCTTATTATTCAAAGGGCATTAATAAACTTCATCTAGGCTTATCCATAACTAAAGAAGCCATCTATATATAAATAAATGTTCAGTGCATAATGAGTACCTTAAAAACAAAAGAACCAATGAACGAAATCACACCAAATTTGGCAACAAAACGTCTCACAACACAAGGAGTGACCATCACTCAAAAAATGATGATTTTGTCATTTGGGAGTTGTAGTTGCTGGGATTTATAGTTCAACTACAATCAAAGAGCATTCTGAACTCCATCAATGATGGAATTGAACCAAACTTGGAACTCCCATGACCAACAGAAAATGTTGGAAGGGTTTGGTGGGCATTGACCTTGAGTTTGGGAGTTGTAGTTCACCTACATCCAGAAAGCACTGTGGATTCAAACAATGATGGATCTGGACCAAACAAAACATATTTGGGTGTATTGAGAAGCACTCAATACGCCCAAATATGAACACAGATGGAGTTTGGGGGAAATAGACCTTGACATTTGGGAGTTGTAGTCACTGGGATTCACAGTTCACCTACAATCAAAGAGCATTCTGAACCCCACGAACAACAGAATTTGGGGAAACTTCCCACACAGAACCCCCATGACCAACAGAAAATACTTAAGGCCATCCAATCCAACTCCCTTCATCAGGGCAAGAAAATGTAATCAAAGTACTCCTGACAAAGAGCCATCCAGCCATAGAGACAGATAGAAAGATAGATAGATATGATTTCACGCACACACAGATATAGTATCATAGATTTGAAAGACACCCTTAAAGAAGGACAATGATATGTTGCATGTTTCAGAGTGGACAAAACAGACACTCTCCACATCAACACTGACAAAGAAACAGCAAGAAATACTGTTTACCCACAAGCATAAAAACATTACATATATTAGAAACCAACACTTTCTTGTTACTTTATTTTCCAGATCACCAGACTGGGCCACAGCAACGCATGGCAGGGGACAGCTAATTACCATATAAGAATGTGATACTAAATTCAAGTCACTCTTTGCTGTTTTATATTAGTTCGGTTAATGGGGTGGGGGGAATCAATCGAGTATTCATTCACAGATTATTCATTTCCCATCTACAAGCATTGGCCTCACTAGGATGTTTGCTTTTTCCTTACCTGTATTCCTGCATGGCTACAGAGGTAAAAATCAAATTCATAAGGATGTGTAATGTCTGTATCGACAGTTGTTCCAGCTGGGATGTTCCCACTTCTTCCAACCTAGAGAGTGATGTGTTTCCACAAAGGGACGAAAGAAGGGAAAGGTTAGCTGCCAAGTTTAAAGCAAATGCTACCCTGATAGAAAACTGGGATTCACAGTTCACCTACATTCAAAGAGCATTCTGAACCCCACGAATGACAGAATCGGGGCAAACTTCCCACACAGAACCCCCATGACCAACAGAAAATACTTAAGGCCATCCAACCAACTCCCTTCATCAGGGCAAGAAAAGAGCCATCCAGCCACACGATCTCTCCGATCATCTGGAGAGGCCCTGCTCACACTCCCACCTGTATCTCAAGCGCGATTGGTGGGGACGAGAGAGAGGGCCACATCTGGCCCCCCGGCCTGGAATTGCCCATACCCGATGTAGTGGCTTTGACAATTTATGAAAAGATCAAAGAAATACAGCTGCCTTCCACATTTGCAAGTTTTACGTGATGCAGAAAGTGGAAAAAACTACAAATAAAAATGCTTTTTTAAAAACTTGAGAGAACACTTCTCATCTTTAGGTCCACAAGGCTACTCTATAGTCAATTTCAACCAGAAGGAATCTCCATGTCTTCCAGGACAAATCTACACCCAACTTCCACCAGAGGTTGATTCCTGAATTGACCTGGAAGACCTGGAAATCTGGAAGTGTTCCCTTAGGTTCTCTAGCACAACTTAGGGATCCCTGTGGAAGCAATCTGTATATACTCGAGTATAAGCCTAGTTTTTCAGCCCCTTTTTTGGGCTGAAAAATCTCCCCTTGGCTTATACTTGAGTCACTGTTATTTACTATTTTACTCTGTTATTAGTATTATTTTATTGCATTTATTATTTTACTCTATTTATTATTATTATTATTACATTTATTATTTTACTCTCTTATTACTGTTATTACATTTCCATTATTTTACTCTATTATTCTTTTTATTGCATTTATTATTTTACTCCCTTTATTATTATTGGAAGGATATGTAAGCACATTTACATTGAAGAAGGTTAGAATAATGGTTTAATCAGAGTTGGACAGCTATATCTTAAATTACAATTTTATTTAAATATTTTTGAATATTTACTCTACTGATGCCCCAATTAATGTAATTTTATTGGTATCTATTTCTATTTTGAAACTTACCAGTAGCTGCTGCATTTCTCGCCCTCGGCTTATACTCAAGTCAATACATTTTCCCAGTTTTTTGTGGTAAAATTAGGTGCCTCGGCTTATATTCGGGTCGTCTTATACTCAAGTATATACGGTACATGTTTAACAGGGATAGTCTTACCCTTTCTGTCCTGTCAGCACAGAACAGCCTTGTATGATGCCTCTTCTGAACAACAATATATGTTATGCCAGGCTGATAATCTTTTTCCAGGCTAATACAGGCCTCTCGGATTGCTAGCAGTTCATAATACAGCACCTATAGTTCAGAAACAGAAATGTTCTCTTACCACTCAAACATGCACAAATCACATTTCCATTCTCACAACACAGAGGTGTATTTTTGAATATCTAGATCCCATTGACTTCCTTGCCAGTTAGAAATTACTTGGAAAACATATTTAATACATGAACACATGCTAATATTTGCTTTACAGTGACACAGACGTGGTGGTAGGACACGCATCTCTTTAATTTTACTAAAAAGAAATAAGGATTCCATAATTCTTCAAACTGTAAGACACTCCCCTGTGGAGAGGAGAGTAACCAAAGGGAAGACTCATGTGGGCTGAACCTGCAATTCTGCTGGCCAATGCCAGTCTGGCACAGTGGCTGGAACACTTGTTTTCCACCACTCGCATTTGATTCCAACCAAGGACCAGGTACAGGATTTTGTTGTGATCAAATGGAGCTACACCCATAGCCCACAACTGCCTTTTTTAAACACCCGCCTCCATGGGCAGTACATATTAAAACCAACTTTGTCACTCCTGCACATTCAAGAGAAGCAGCCTGGTATTGGCAGGCTGCTGCTCCCATCTCACAAAACCCAAAGTGGAAGTGGACGCCATGTCAAATCGCTCCCCTCCATTCTGCTTTATGATTTTTGTCAGTTTCTGGACTGATGGGATCTGTGGCGAGTACTGGATCAAAATGTTGTACTCCAGCACTGGTAAAGTCACCTATCTTGGGTTTTGTTGCACCTCAGCAGAGAGTTTACCTTGTTCACAGCACTCTCCAAGAAACCAAACATGGTTTATTAATAAAAACACATATAAAAAAGGGGAAAGACACCAAGCAAATGGAAGGGTAAAAATCCAAGAGTCAATGAAAGAAGCAAGTTCCAAAGGCAATAAGTATACCCCAGAAAATAATGGTTAAATCACGAACACAAATTCCAAAACAAGTCCAGGAAATAAGGAACAAAACATGAGCATGAGGCCAAAGGTAAATCCATAAAACAAGGAGCAAAACATGAGCATGGATCTTGGGTCATGAACTAAGGCTTGAGCTAGAAACAAGACAGGAGTTCCTTGCTTCAGTAGCAATGTTGCTTGATCTAAAATCCCAACAGCTCTCTCACTACTTTAAGGACTGCAAAACATGAACACATTCCTTTGACCTTGAGAGGCCTGCTTCTGCCTCTCTTTCTCACAGATTCTTTCCGATTATTTATTTATTTATTTATTTTGCGCATTTCTACCCCGCCCTTCTCAACCCCCGAGGGGGGACTCAGGGCGGCTTACAAAAGGCACAATTCGATGCCAACAACAAACAATAAGATAAAAACATGTATCAATAGCCATTATAAACAATTAAAACAAGCAAGGTATATATCACAATCAATAAAACCTATCTAATGTTCAACGTTCGTCAGCTCAGAATCCGTAGGTTCATTCCACATTGTCAAATCCTATCAATTCTGGTTGTCATTATCCTTTGTCTATCTGCCAGATTACCCAAAGGCCTGGTCCCATATCCATGTTTTTAGTTTCCTTCTGAAAGAGAGGAGGGATGTCGATGACCTGATTTCCCCGGGAAGTGAATTCCACAGGTGAGGAGCCACCACCAAGAAGGCCCTGCTCCTTGTCCCCACCAATCTCACTTGTGATAGAGGTGGGGCTGAGAGCAGGGCCCCCCCAGAAGATATTAAACTCCGAGGCAGGACATAAAAGGAGATGCGTTTGGACAGGTATGCTGGGCCAGAGCTGTATAGGGTTTTGTAGGTCAAAACCAGCACTTTGAATTGTGCTCGGATCGGCAGCCAGTGGAGCTGACATAACAGAGGGGTGGTATGCTCCCTGTATGACGTCCGGTGAGTAATCTGGCCGCCACCTGCTGGACTAATTAAAGTTTCCGAACAGTCTTCAAAGGCAACCCCACGTAGAGTGCATTGCAGTAATCTATTCGGGATGTAACAAGAGCGTGGACCACTGTGGCCAGATCTGACTTCCCAAGGTACGGGCGCAACCGATTTCCTGAATCTCTGTCTCTCAGAAGCAGCCTGGTATCTCTGTTTAAGCCAGGTGCTCCCTCGGATGAGCTAATGTTATCCTCTACTCCCTGCCTGTTGGAGTCCAAAACAGTTCCACTTTCACACTCTATCTCAGCAACAGCATCTTTCTCCAAAACCCCCTCCGTTCCCTCATCTACAGAACCATCTTGCTCTAAACCCCCCTCTGTTTCCTCACTTATAGAACCATCGGGCCCCAAATCCCCTCCTCTTCATCAGACTGAACCACAACAGGTTTCACGGCTCATTTTTATGTACTTTTTAAAATTGATGTGACTTTTTCAATAATCTGGAGATAGCTTTGTGTTTTGTTGTTACTGTGTGGTTTCTGTTTTAATACACTCTGGGGTTCCTATTGCTCTATTAACATCTCTGCAGGCTTTCCTAGTGCTGTCAAAACATGGAGGTATAAATTATATAAAAGACCTGTCGAAACTGTCCCTCTGACACTCCGTCGCGGTAGAAGATAATCCGCGTGGGTTTGAAGCGCGTCGACTTGTAGAACTGGATGAGGAGTTCTCTAACCATGGAGGCCAAGTCTTGGATGATCTCCTGGCGGGGTTTTTGAACTCTCACTGTGGCACAGTACCTGCTGGGATGGGCATCCATGCTGCCTACAACCTAAAGGCAAGAGACACAAGATGAAAGATCCATAAGGATAATGTTAATAGCACGCTTTCTCTAGTGAAAAAACAAGGGAAGGGAGAGATATTGCACAACACAAAGGCACATATTTTAAAATAGGACTTCAGAAAATGACTAAAAAGTTACTCAAGGCTATGAGATTTATTTATTTATTTCATTTTGGAAGGGGGGCTAAGGGCAGCTTCACAGCAAGCACCATTCAGTGCCATCACAATGATAAAAACAATCAATAAATTCATTAAAACAGAACATTAAATAAACAGGTGTTAAAACATGCCAGTTAAAATCAGAGTCTGGGTCAATTCATTGTCACTTCGAATTGCTTATGCCTTTTTTTCACTAGCCGCTATTCAATGGTCAAACGCAAGGTCCCACAACCAAGTCTTAAGGACAGGAGGGAGGTGGCCAATCCCCATGTCTCTGGGGAGGGGATTCCACAGACGAGGTGCCACGTGGCCGTTCCAGTGTGCCTTCCTTCCCTGAATAAGGAAATAATTCCCAGCAAAATGTCCTCAGAAGCACTTTAACTACTCGTTGGATTGCTCTCCCTTCATTTATTTATTTACTGTATTTGTATACCGCCTTTCTCAGCCAATCGGTGACTCAAGGTGGTTTCCAACAAATCAGTACATATAAAAACACAATACACATTAAAACATTAAACAATATAAAACACCACAAAAGCAATAAAAACAACATCATTAGCATCTCATTATCTAGCATTGTCCAGTTCCATTGTCAAATTGTTCAATTTCCTTTATTAGCTACTCTGCATTTGTAAACGCTTGCTCAAACAGCCATGTTTTAACTTGCCTCCGAAACGTTAAGAGGGAGGGAGCAGATCTAATCTCCCTAGGGAGGGTGTTCCATAGCCGAGGGGCCACCACTGAGAAGGCCCTGTCTCTCGTCCCCGCCAAACGTACTTGAGATGAAGGCGGGACCGAGAGCAGGGGCTCCCCAGACGATCTTAGAGTCCTCGATGGTTCGTAAGGGGAGACACGTTCGGACAGGTAAGTTGGGCCAGAACCGTTTAGGGTTTTATAGGCCAAAGCCAGCACTTTGAATTGGGCCCGGTAGCAAACCGGCAGCCCGATACATCCTACGTCTGTTCATGCCCAGTGTGCTGTCACTCGCTGGGCCTGTGCAAGAGACTGTAGACAGGACGTATATTCTGTGTGCCCAACGGGACGCCGGGGCTGCCTCAGATGAGAAGCCTTAGGATTTCCTTAAACAGAGTCTTTAGATTGCTTAAAGGTTGAACAAAGTTTTTTTTATTATTGCTAAGGTCTTCAATAAATCACAACTATTTCAAGGCTTTCTTAACCAATTGGTGGCTTTCTCAATCTTGTCCACAGGGGACAGGCAACTATCTTCATAAACTGTTTCTTCGCTATCGGGGAAATCCTTAACCTCTATCTGGGCAGTCTGTCTTAGGCCTTGCTGGCATGGGACCCCTACACCCGGTACCAACTGCTTCTCGCTGCCGTGAGTGGCCCTTACCAAACAGAGTCTTTTGTAGACTTTCAGTTCCCAGCAATGGCTGGCTGTAGCGCTGTGGGGCTGGATCCCTTCAGTAAAGGAGCTATAAGGCTGTAAATTCCCAGCAAAGGCTATGCTGAGACTGTATTCCCCCAGCCAAGCTGTAAAAGACGAAGCTTTCTACAGGAGGACCTGATTTACATCCTGTACGAAGACTTCTCTGTGTGGACAGAGCTAAAATAGCTCCTTTTCCCTCCCAAAACCCAAAAGGGGGCGGAACTAGAGAACCTAATGATGACTGAGGGGTGACTGGCCCAATAACTGCAAATTAAGGAAAGCCACCTAATTGGAAAATGCATAGAACTTTAGAATACATGCAAACACTCAACAAAGGAAAGGTAAGTTGGAAGCTCCTGGTACAGCCGTGCCAGAACACCCAGTGTTTATTTTTTAAATTTTAAACTATTACATTTGGCCCAGCCATAGGTTTTAAATCCTTGTGTGTTATTGTTTATATGTGATTTATATTAATTGTATTGTTTTTTGTTTATTTCTTTTCTGTTTTATTGATGTGTTGTCGGGCTTGGCCTCATGTAAGCCGCTCCGAGTTCCTTGGGAGATGGTGGCGGGAAATAAAGGTTTATTATTATTTTATAACTGTTATTTTGCATCACGGAACATTTCACATATACATAAGGAGTTACAACTCAACCTAAAAGGAAACAGGAAGAAGGAATAATATGGCAAAAATCAACCCAGACCTCATCAGTTGTTTCCTTACTTCACTGTCCCATGGAGGAAAACCAATCTCTTAATGCAACTTACAGCAGCAATAGATGGCTTCTTTCCATCTCCAGCAGGTGGATGAGTGACATCTGCTCCCAAGAAGATCACTGGTTGTTGGAACACAGAAGGTCTTTAAAAAAAAGTGAAAAGTCAACCTCAAACTCAAGATTCGTCTACAGCTCAGTAGGTCCTGGGTTATGCCTCACGCCCTGGAAGATAAGAAAACACTCCTGCCATGTACCCACAGGGTCTATGAACGATCTTCAGAGTTACAATCAAACCTAATATTACAAAATTCACCTTTTTGAATAAGGGACATCCACCACATTTTTGCAGGTCGAAAGCCATACATTTTGGCCAGATTCTCATAATAACTTACAAGGTGGAACACATTCCTCGTGACTAATAATAACAAAGGGGATATAGAATCAACTGGGCATATTTAGACATCTGTCACCATCCTTTCTGACTCTTTCAGCATTCAGTTCACACTAAATGATTTTTCCAGATTTTGGAAAACCCTGTTGAGCAGAGGGTTCCACAAAAGCATAATAAAAATCAAATTTAAAATGGATTTTAAAATAAAACAACATGAAGCCAAATATTTGATTTACAGTCTCCATAATAGCTATTTTATACAACAGCTATTACTATAGGTATGTAGTTATTGGCTTCACATTTCAACATTTTATTTTCCATCTGAACAAGAGTGATTCACACAAGGACAATTTTCCATGTTGATTACACATTTCTTTCTTTTTCTTTCTTTCTTGTTTATTTTTGATATGATTACTTATTAATAAAACATCAAGTAAAATTGACTCCAAAACTCAAAAATCAGAAAATGTATGTGACTTTGTGTAAAATCATCCAAAACATATATTTTGATTAAACCAATAATGGATAGAGCTTGGTTTCTATGGAAAATAAATGTCTTCTGAGTTGTTCCATGACTGAAAATGACTACACAGAAGCAATTGAAATCCACAAGTATGTGGACAATTTCAACAGAAAAGGAAGAAACCATGAACGAAGTCTGGCTACCAGCATTTAAAAACTCTAAAATCAGGACATTAAATAAAGAGGAACATTACAAAAAAACGGGGAATTCCAGACAAGAAACCATCAGGGCCAGCTAACATATCCCAACAAAGAATCTCTCTAGGAAGGAATCAGCCAGGTCTTGAAGCTGCAAGGCTTTGCTATGCTAATCAAGGTGATTAATCGCAACATTCCCACTTGCCTCCAACAGATAATAATAAATAATAGTAATAAACTTTATTTATACCCCGCCACCATCTCCTCCAACGGGGACTAGAAGCGGCTTACATGGGGCCAAGCCCGAACAACAAATTAAAATACAAAAATACAAATTGCAGTAAAACAAATAACATAACAATAAAGTATAAAACATCAAAACATATAAACAATATACACAAAACATAGAAACCAAACATAATGACAGAGAGCGGGCCGCATGTACATAAAATGATTTAAAAACTCAGGGAAAGGAGAGATAAGAGTTGGGAAAGGAGAGATAAGAGTTGGGAAAGGAGAGATAAGAGTTGGGAAAGGAGAGATAAGAGTTCTTTCTCCCATTTTGGATCTTCCACAGATATATAAACCTCCCTTGCTTAGTTTCTAATATACCTCACAACCTCTGAGGATGCCTACCATAGATGTGGGCAAAACGTCAGGAGGGAATGCTTCTCGAACATGGCCATACAGCCTGGAAAACTCACAGCAACCCAATACAGTAATTGCTTTAATATCTTCATTTCTTCATGCTCATAGTGAATGCAAAGTCATTTATGCTGTCAACTAGCTTGCTTTAAGGGTATTTAGATGTGATCAGGCTGACTGCCCGGTGAATGTTGTTAATATCCAGTGAGACCGTGACATCAATAGAATGAGAATTTTCTCCCCTGGAAAACGTTCCCAAATGCAACGAGAAAACTGTTAGCCTTCAGGGATGGGCCTTTTGAAAAAGCTCTCCAGCTCAAAAAGAGAGGATAGCCACCATAGGTCTAAATCTTATCAGAAAATGTGTTGAACATGACAACAAGGTTGACGGGAATCCACACGTTTTAGGGGGAAAAATATCAAATGAGAGGTATGCCATCTATAACGAATATATCAATCTCGCCACTGGCACCAATTATAAAGTATATACCGTAATATATCCCCCAGCAGAACTCCACTGTAAAGGATTATATGTAATATCACACCACTGGACACTAGTAAGAAGGAAACTATCACAACCAGTGACGCAAGGCTGGAGGGTTAGTGATAATATGTCTGGGCAGGATGGTTCTTCCCCCAAAGATTCACTTTTTCCTCAAAAATCCTACCCCTATGCCTCCAATTTGGTAGCGAGCTGTAGATAGATATATGTAAATGTAGAATGAACACTGTTTGTCTTTTAGTCTTCTTTTGGTTTAAAGCTGCCACCAACCCAAGTTGCCTTAGGATTTTTAAAATGAGTTTTTGAGGTAAACTTTTCCCACTTTTACCAATACTGCTCTTCCCCTAGCTCCCAGAATGACTATTTGGATGAGGCTTTTCTGTGGTATCAAGATGTTAAAAATGCTGGAATTGTCACAAAGGATTAATGATAGATTGAGGAACGATAGATAACCTTTTGAAAGTTAAATAGAAAAAGATTTATTTATTTAAAAAAAGACCTTTTTTGAGAGGCACAAAACGCTTGACTTGTTACAAAAGTACTACAGCTTGATGGTTGCTAGAATAAGTTTCTTTACTTAGTTACAGTCAGAGCTACTCAAACAGATCTAGCTGCTAGTAACAAAAATCCCTCACTCTACTTCAGAGAAATAGTAATGGGTTTCTGACTAACCTATCCTAGGTAGTCCCCTGAGTTATCAGCTAACTCTTCCCAGAGTTCTTCCTGCTAACTAACTCAGTCTAGAGAGCTAATCTCTTGTGCTATCTCCCACAAGAAATCTGGTTGCTATCTGACCTTTCCTGTCAGCTAATCAGCCCCTGTCTGACACAGACACTCTCTCCCTGAAAACCTAGTTTCAAAAACACTTCTTCTCCCACCAGCTCCCAGTTCTCAACTTCACAGAAGCTGAAATCTTTTCCCTCCTAAGACTTGGCTCCTCCCAACTCTTCTAGCCAATCCCAGGAGACCTCAACCTCCTCCCATCTTCTAACTATCCTCACTCAAGATGGCTGCTTCCCTGGCATACACTCTCAAAATGGAGGTTTGCCATACTGTTATCCAGGCTTCCTTTCCGGCCTACTAGATAAGATTCACTACACCCTCCATTTCATAGGATAACAATGACAAATTGAGACAGCACCATAGATGCCAAAATCATAAAGTCCTATATTGAACTCAACATGGATATGAAAGTCCTAATTTCCACCACAATTACGTCACACAGCTTGTTACTTGGGAACATGATATTAGGACCCTGCCAGCATCCCTGATTTGTTTCTATGGTTTAACTGCAAATGAAACATAACAGATCATCTGCCCCAAAATCTATTGCTGCAAATTCCAGCTGCACATAAATAAGAGCTTCAAAAAGAGCAAAACTTTCAAGGGACGAAAGATGCAACAAAAGCAAACTTTTAACAAACTTAAGATTAAAAAGGGATTCTTACCGTTGATGAGGTACAAGGATGTTGTTGATTCCTCCCAATTTTACGTTTATCTTTAGGCACAGGTTTGAGAGGGTTTGAGGAGATGTTTTTATGACATTCTTGACTTGAACGCATTGCGTGGCCATCCCCAAAAGGGTGTCCCCCACACGCTTCACCTCCGCTGAGAAATAAGCATTGATGCAAAATGACTTCAGATTATCTTATGGGATAATTCTACAACTTCTCATCATGCTGTCAGGTTTAATTAAATGATGCACAAGGCCTTGGAGACAGCCAATGGCCCAAGAAAAGGCCATCTTTTTCGTACTTTGAAGAATGAGATTCCCCCAGAAAGGGAGATTGCTTGAAGTTATGCTGACAAGAAAATAAGTACTACTAAGCAAGCTCTCTTTCTGTAATCTCTACTTATTAGGACTAATCTTCCATATCATTTGGGAAAGGAGATAATAAAAGTAGGGAGACTTAACTGGAACAATTAACTGGGCTGGGGTTTAGCACAGCTGATTAATCACCAGCAATAAGATCTACCAACCGAAAGGTTGCCAGTTCAAAGCCCTGGGTTGGCGTGAGTTGCCGACTGTCAAGCCCAGTGTACAGTTGACCTATGCCGTTCGAAAACAGCTTGTGCTGTAATTAGAGAAATTAGGTACCGCCAAAACGGTTCCGGCCCAGCTTATCCATCCGAACGTATCTCTCCTTATGAACCTTCTAGGAATTTGAGATCGTCTGAGGCCCTGCTCTCGACCCCGCCTGCCTCACAGGCACGTTTGGCAGGGATGAGAGACAGGGCCTTCTCAGTGGTGGCCCCTCGGCTGTGGAACTCCCTTCCCAGGGATATTAGATCGGCCCCCTCCCTCCTGACCTTTCGAAAACAAGTGAAAAATCTGGCTCTTTGAGCAAGCGTTTGGAGCTACAGCAGTTAACACAAAATCGCGATACGAACATGGAACGGCTAAGACTATGTAAACAGATAAGGAATTTGGATTGGAAGACATTGGTTTTTTATTGATTTTTATAGGTTTTATGGATTTTATATGTATTTCTGGTGTGTTTTATTTTTATTGATATACTAAACGTCCCCTGCCACACGTTGCTGTGGCCCAGTCTGTGTATATGTGTTTTGTGTGTGAATATATGTGTGTATATATTTGTGTATATGTGGTTGTGTGCATGCGTTGTAATATATTTTTTATTATTTGGCTTTTTAAGTCTCTTCCACTGTGTTTTTCAGTGTTTTTATGTGTGATTTTTTTAAAAAAAAATTTATTATACATTTATCAAACAACATGTATAAGCATACGTTCTTCCCTCTTTTTACAACATCTTAGATAGAATAATTTGTCATATTATATACAATCTAACAGTAAAAATAATCAAAAACATCTTTAAGCATATTTCTTATCATTCCGTTACAACTTATACTATGTATATCTCTACCACACACCTTTTATCTACTTATACATGTTTTATTTCTTTATCATTAGTATTATATCATTTTCCCCCTCTTCCCTTTACCCTTAGTTTGTTTGGGTTTTTATGTGTGATGGTAACTCGTTGGCCTGATAGGTGTATTGTGTCTAATTTTGGTGTCAATTCGTCCAGTGGTTTTTGAGTTATGTTAATCCCACAAACGAACATTACGTTTTTATTTATATAGATGTATTTATATATGGCATCTAATCGTTGCCGGTCTGTACGCTGCCGAGTTACCTTCGAGCTGAAATGGGCAGGATAAAAATGTCATAAATAAATAAATAAAACAAGTGGTGGAGATATTTTATGACACCATAAAGAAAAAAGATCAGAAAATGCTACGTGACCAAAATGAAGGAGGAAGTCCTAGTGGCTCTTCATCAACTCACAAATGTCAGGGTCTATTTCCTGCAAACTCCACTAGTATTCACATTTGGGCAAATTGAGGATTCGTGCCAAGTTTGGTCCAGATCCATCATTGTTTGAGTCCACAGTGCTCTCTGGATGTAGGTGAACTACAACTCCCAAACTCAAGATCAATGCCCACCAAACCCTTCTAGTATTTTCTGTTGGTCATGGAGAACTGTGTGCTAAGTTTGGTTCAATTCCATCATTGGTGGAGTTCAGAATGCTGTTTGATTGTAGGTGAACTGTAATTCCCAAGAACTACAACTCCCAAATGACAAAATCAAATTTTTTTGAGTGAAGGACATACATTGGGTTGTTAGACGTATTCTGTCCAAATTTGATGTCAGTTTGCCCACTGGTTTTTGAGTTCTATTAATCCCACAAACGAACATTACATTTTTATTTATATCGATTTACATTATGATTAATAACAGTAGCAAAATTACAGTTATGAAGTAGCAACGAAAATAATTTTATGGTCGGAGGTCACCACAACATGAGGAACTGTATTAACGGGTCGGGGCAATAGAAGGTTGAGAAACACTGATCAATATAAAGGGAGTGAGCAATGGTGACACCAAAACATGGAAACAACAATGTGAAAAATGTCTCTAAATCTTCCAATGTGACTCTATGGTCAACTTCCCCGCGTCAGGCTGGGAAACCAAAAATTTTTCAGAGGAAACACCTCTCTAGAAATCTCTAGGTCCTCCAATGAGATTTTATGATCACCTACCTGTACCCGCCACGTGTTGCTGTGGCCAACCTTCCCTCCCTCTTTCTCTCCTTCTTTCCCTCCTCCCCTTTTCTTCTTTCCTTCTCTTCTTCCTTCCTTCTCTACCTCTTTCCTTCCTCCCTTTTTCTTTTCCTTCCCCTTCTTCCTTCTCTGCCTCTTTCCTTCCTTCATTTGCTTTTTGTTTCCATCCTTCCTTTTGTCTTTCCTTCCCTCTCTCTTTCTTCCTTCACTCCCTTTCCTTTTTTTTCTTTCCTTCTCTCCTTCCTTCTTTCTCTACCCATTTCTTTCCATCCCTCTTTTTTCCCTCTTTCTCTCCTTTCTTCCTTCTCTACCTCTTTCCTTCGCTCTTTGCTTCCATGATTACTTCGCTCCTTCCTTCCTTCGTTCCTTCCTTCCTTTCCCCCTTCCTTCCCTCCCTCTTCCTTCCCTTTTTTCTGTATGTCATTTATCTTTTCGTCATTTATCTTTTCAGGGGTTTTAAGTCTTTTCCACTGTCTTTTTTGTTTTTTTTGTTTTTTTGGGGGGGGGTTATGAGTGATGGACACTCATTGGTCTGTTAGTGTTGCTGTGGCCAACCTTCCCTCCCTTTTTCTCTCTCTCCTTCCTTCCTTCCCTCTTTCCTTCGTTCCTTCCTTTTTTCTTTCCTTCTCTTTCCTCCCTCCCCCTTTTCTTTACCTTCTTTCTCTCCTTTCTTCCTTCTCTAGCTCTTTCTTTCCTCCCTTCCTTTGCTCTTTGCTTCCATCCTTCCTTCGCTCTTTCCCACTCTCGTTCAATCCTTTCTTCTCTCCCTCTTCCCTTCCTTCCTTTCTCTACCTCTTCTCTGGGCACTGGCAGGAAAGGAGCTTTGCTGTAGCCCTCAGCCTTGCCGGGCGGGCGTGGGGCAGGCGGGAGGCGCTTTTTGAAGCAGGCCTCGCTCACCCAGCGCCACCCTTTCTTCTTTCTGCCATGGCTGCAGGGTGCCTTCCCTGTTTGGTGGGTGGGCACGCAGGCAGGGTCATATGGAAGGCGCCCTGTGGTTGAGGCAGAAGGAAGGGGCCAATGTGGGTGAGCAAGGCCCACCTTGAAAAGTGCCTCCCACCCCTGCCGGGCCCTGCAAGGCTGAGGGCTGCAGAGCTCCCTTCTCGTTGGTGCCCAGGCAAGGGAAGGTGAAGCCTGGCGAGCAGCGTCCACACAGAGCAGCCACCCGCCTGCCTCTCCAGGGGGAAAAGAAGGAGGAGAGGTCTGTGTTTGGTGGGGCTGACAAAGAGAAGAAGGAGACTGGGAGGGAAGGAAGGAAGGAGGGCCCACACATGGAAAGGGACTCCATGGCGAGGCTTCTCTTCCCTCACAACGGTTGGTGCTTCATTCTTCTCACGCAATGGGGAGAAGGGCTTTTGTGCATGCTCTGTAAGGCATTTTTAAAGTTATTTCCCCTTCATTTTTTACGGTTTTTTGGTTTGAAAGACATAGATTGGATTAGAATGTGTTTTGCTGCCAAATTTGGTGTCAATTAGTGCAGTTGGGAGGAGAGCAATGTCCAATCTCGATAAAATAGTAAAGAGTAGAGACATCACACTGGCAACAAAGATCCACATAGTCAAAGCCATGGTATTCCCTGTAGTAACATACGGATGTGAGAGCTGGACCTTAGGGAAGGCTGAGCGAAGGAAGATAGATGCTTTTGAACTGTGGTGTTGGAGGAAAGTTCTGAGAGTGCCTTGGACTGCGAGAAGATCCAACCAGTCCATCCTCCAGGAAATAAAGCCCGACTGCTCATTGGAGGGAAGGCTACTAGAGACAAAGTTGAAGTACTTTGGCCACATCATGAGGAGACAGCAAAGCCTAGAGAAGACAATTATGCTGGGGAAAGTGGAAGGCAAAAGGAAGAGGGGCCGACCAAGGGCAAGATGGATGGATGGCATCCTTGAAGTGACTGGACTGACCTTGAAGGAGCTGGGGGTGGTGACGGCCGACAGGGAGCTCTGGCGTGGGCTGGTCCATGAGGTCACGAAGAGTCGGAGACGACTGAACTAATGAACAACAATAATCCTACAAATGAACATTACATTTTTTATTTATATTGATTTCTGTCATGCTGGAGGATGGTCTCCATCCTGAGTCCCTCGTTTGAGGTGAGAAGGCCGGTATAGAAAACTTCCAAATAAAATAAATAAATAATAAATAAATAAATATAGCCATTTTAATTCATTTTCTTTTTACTTGTACAGGGGTCCTATGCCCCTAACCCCAGTGATTAGGGAGGGCTGACTGTATTCCATAATTAACCTTCAACACAATCCCTCCTAGAATTATAGAACCATTGAGTTGGAAGGGACGTCGTGGGCCACTGAGTCCACCCCCATTCTGCCAAAAAGCAAAAAAATCACATTCAAAGCACCCCGGACAGATGACCATCCAGCCTCTGCTTAAACATCTCCAAAGAAGGAGACTCCACCACACCACGAGTCAATTCCAATCTTCTTTCTCTTCCTCTGGCCTGTCCACTTCTAAACTCACAACACATGAAAGTTTGTTAACAGTCACGTCTGGTTTATGCTATTTAAACTGTAACTCATTTAACTGCCACTTGCGATGGTGAAATCATAGAATCATAGAGTTAGAAGAGACCACATGGACTATCATTCTAGTCCAACCCCATGCCATGAAGGAAAAGAATGATAAAACCACCCCCTACGGATGTCTTAAGCAAGGTCATCTAATATGTAATTAACCCAAAGGGAGCTGCTTGTTTGCTTTATTATTTTTATTATTATTTACCATATACTGGCGTCTTCCCAGGTAAGATGACAATGATGAGCTGGAGCCCAGAATATGTGTTTTTAAGGTGTCGGAACATGGGCTCCACGCTGTCAGCACCTTGTGCATATTTACAGAAGCATGGCTGGCCCTGGATTGGCATCCCTGCATCCTTGGAGATTTTACGCAGCTGGTCTGTAAAACCCCTGGCAACAAAACGAGAACTTTATTAACACTCACACTCTCAACTAGCACATATCAATTCACACACACCATTCTCCCATACTAATAAATCACACATTTAATTCTCTCTATAGTGAGAACATGCATCATATTTCACAGTTACAGTGGCATTGCCACTAAGTACAATACCACAAACAAGGATTTTTAAACGTAGTATTTGACGGCAGCTGAAATTGTAGTTGTAATTTTCCATGAAAGATTATTACAGTATATACTTGAGTATAAGCCGACTTGAAAATAAGCTGAGGCACCTAATTTTACCACAATAACCTGGGAAAACTTATTAACTCGACTATAAGTTGAGAGTGGGAAATGCAGCAGCGACTGGTAAATTTCGAAATTTCAAAATAAAAATAAATACTAATAAATTTACATTAATTGAGGCATCAGGAGGTTAAATGTTTTTGAGTATTTACATAAAACTGTAATTTAAGATAAGACTGTCCAACTCTGATTAAACCATTATTCTAACCTTCTTCAATGTAAATGTGCTTACGTACACTTCTAATAATAAGAGTAGAATAATAAATGTAATAAATATAATAATAATAGAGTAAAATAATGGAAATTTAACAATAGTAATAACAGAGTAAAATAATTAATAATAGAGTAAAATAATAAATGTCATAATTGTAGTAATGAGTAAAATAATAAAAATAATAGAGTAAAATAATGTAAATGTAAGAACAATAGAGCAAAATAATAAATGTAAAAATAATAATAGAGTAAAATAATAAATGTAATAATAAATAGAGTAAAATAATAAATGTAATAAAAATAATAATAGCATAAAATAATGAAAATGTAATAATAATAATAATAATAATAATAAGAGTAAAATAATAAATGTAATAAAAATAATAATAACAGTAAAATAATAAATAACTTTGACTCGCGTATAAGCCAAAGACGACATTTTTAGCCTAAAATTCGGCTTATACTCAAGTATATATGGTACATCAGCTGTGATTAATAGTGGTGCTAACAAAGCACTCTTTGGCAAAGGAGGGTAAGTATCTCACGAAAGTACCACTCCTTGGATTCTACAGCAGTGTGCCATGGCAATTAAAGTGGTGTCACACTGTACTGATTCTACAGTGTAGATGCACCTGCTGCCTCAGCCACAGATAAGGGCATTACATATGTATAGGATCCTATAGCAATGTTTGAGATCCCTGGGCACAGTGATATGTCAGGGGAAGAGCCTGATTATTCTGGATGGACAACGCCTGATGGAACAGGCTTGAATGGAACAATATACTCAAAATCACCCACAAAACTTCATAAAAATAGAGATGTATGACACAAACTAGCAGCAGTTAAAGTTTGGGCAAATAGATCCTACCTGTGAATAATTTCAGCTGAAAAAATAAATCAGCTTCTCCAGTTTGAAGGGAGAAGTACTGAATTCACTTCCTTTCCCCCAGCCTCTTTTTAAGGCGTGATCTCCAACTCCCTAAGTAATGGTATTGGGTTGGGCAAACTTAGAAACCACTCATTGCCTGAACAAATGGCTTACTTTAAGATTTCTTCACGACACTGCCTCTGTGTTGCAAAGCAAGCAATGGCCCACATCTTGATTTCCACACCCGTATGAAACTGTTTTCCACGCATATCCCACACACCATGGCTTGGTGTTGCCACTGTTCGATTCTAGGGAAAGAAATACCAAAAATGACATAACATGGATACCAAGATTCTAAAAATTTACACTATCTGTAACTTTTATGTCATAATTGCTTGTTTCACTTAGGGAGGCAAGTCAGCTCATGAATTAAAATGTTACACTATAATACAGTACGGTGGGCTCTTGTCATCCCCTGAAGTTTAGTTCTATCAAAAAAAGAGACCAGATTAGTCTGGCATGACTTGTTTTTGATAAATCCGTGTTGACTAATAGTGATGACCACATTCCTTTCTAAGTTGTTTTTTTTTTTTTGTCGAGTCAGGAGCAACCTGAGAAACTGCAAGTTGCTTCTGGTGTGAGAGAATTGGCCGTCTGCAAGGACGTTGCCCAGGAGATGCCTGGATGATTTTTTGATGTTTTATCATCCTTGTGGGAGGCTTCTCTCATGTCCCCGCATGAGGAGCTGGAGCTGATAGAGGGAACTCATCCGCCTCTCCCCAGATTCAAACCTGCGACCCGTTGGTCTTCAGTCCTGCCGGCACAGGGGTTTAACCCACTGCACCACCACTGCTCCTCCTTTCTAAGTGTCTGCAGACCACTTCCTTAATGATATTTTCCAGAATCTTGCCTGGTATCGACGTGAGACTTATCGGATGATAATTGTTTAGGTCATCCTTTTTTCCCTTCTTGAAGATAGGGACCACATTGGCCCTCCTCCAATCTGCTGGGACTTCTCCCGTTCTCCAAGAACTCTCAAAGATGATTGCCAATGGTTCCAAAATGACTTCTGCTAGTTCCTTCAATACTCTTGGATGTAGTTGGTCTGTCCCTGGAGATTGAATTCTTTTAGAGTTGCCAGGTCTTCCTGGACGACTTGTTTCCCTATTTGGGGTTGGATTTCCCCTCATTTCATCCACTCCATGTTGCTGAGGTTGAGGACGGCTTTCTTTTTGTGAGAAGCCTGAGGCAAAGAAGGCATTAAGTAATTCTGCCTTTTCCCTATCCCATGCCAGCATTTCCCCATCTTCTCCTCGCAGAGGCCCTATTATTTATTATTATTTATTATTTACAATATTTGTATACCGCTCTTCTCAGTCCTCCGGCGACTCAGAGCGGTTCATATTAGCAAAAATTCAATGCTAAAAACATCATAAAACAGTTAAAAACAATTAAAACAATAGCATTATAACAATAAATTAAATATCATATAACATCTCATATCGTCTCATAGTTAAAACCAAGATCCAGTCTCATCATCCAATTGTTCCATATTCCTATATTCGTTACACTGCCTATTCAAATGCCTGCTCGAACAACGAGGTCTTCACTTTCCTCCAAAATGCTAACAGGGAGGGGGCTGATCTAATTTCTGTAGGAAGGGCATTCCACAGCCGAGGACCTATCACCTCCTTGTTCTTCCTTTTTCTACCACGTAAGCAAAGAAGCCCTTTCTATTGTTTTTAATGTCCCTGGCAAGCGAACGTTTTCCCTACAGGAGTTGGTTATTTGTTTGAATTCTTCTTTGGTGATTTCTCCCCTTTTCCACTTCTTGTGGAAAAGATAAATAAAAGCAGGGTGTCCACAACGTACTGGTGGCACAGGCCTTCAAACAATCTCCTTTAGAGTTCCACATACACACTAAATAGTATAAATCAAGAACATGGAGGTCACCACAAATGAATACTGCTTATTGCCTGAATTTTCCAGCACCATCCTTTGAAGCTGTTCCTCCAAGAAGTACTGAAACCATTGCCAAAAACACCCAAGACAATACCATGCCCAATGGTACTGAAAGTTACCAAGAGGTCCAGTGGAACTAACAGGGACAAATCCTTCCTATCCACTTTCCAGCTGACATCAACCACCGAGTAACAAAGCCACCTCTGTCCCATTTACCATGTCTCAAACTAGAAGGAAACAGAGCTAGATAATCAATTTCTTTTGGGAATCTCTAGAGCTGGAGAATGCTACTACAATCCAGGGCTTTGCATAGAAACGGAACACTGCGAACTGCCCTGAGTCCTTTTCGGAGTTGAGAAGGGCAGTATAAAAATACCGCAAATAAATAAATACCGGAGAATAGAATACTGGGGTCATAGTACAGTTACATAAATTCAAAATAACAAAACCAAGACAGAACTATAAGCTAAAGTAACAAACCATCTAGTATTACATCAAGGTGGAAATAAGGGTTTCTTACTCTTCCTCCATATTGCAGCATGGGGGCTGGGAGCACACGTCCCGTCACATGGGCCATTTCATCACGAACTTTAAACTGAAATTCCTGAACAAATGGGTCAGCATCATAATTTGCACTTCTCACCTGGAACAAAAAAAAAATCCATGTTAAGAAGAGGAATTTGTAACTCCAGAGGTGTTAGGTAGCTCATCTATAAATCTACAGTCCAAACCAGAATTCAGCACCATGTTCAATATACAGAACAATGTTCTTTTGTGACTCCTGAAGGCTGCTTTCAATCAGACACCATTCACTACATTTTCCATTATTTTTATTTTCCATACCTTTTCTGGAGACATCAATAATAATATTGATGATTATTATGATTATGATTATTTATGAACCACCTCTCCTTGCAGCTGGAGGCAGGATACAACACAGTTAAAACAGCGAAGGAAAACAAAGAACTATTCAAACACGCATAACAAACACAGGTAAAATGAAGATTAAAATTTATCGAATTATCGAATTTTATGCAGGTAAAATTCACAAGTTAAAATAGACTGGGTAGGGCTGCTGACAGAGGTAGGACTTCAGTTGTCTTAAATTTTGACAACTGATTTAGCTGTCAGATCTCTTCTGCAGGTCATTCCAGTTGTAGGGCAGCCAATGAAAAGGTCTTCTGGGTGACAGTCACCAGTCGGGTTCTGGCTGGATGGATTGGGACAGCGAGAAGATCCAACCAGTCCATACTTCAGGAAATAAAGCCCAACTGCTCATTGGAGGGAAGAATAGTAGAGGCCAAGATGAAGTACTTCGGCCACATCATGAGAAGAAAGGAAAGTTTAGAGAATACAATTACTGTATATACTCGAGTATAAGCCTAGTTTTTCAGCCCCCTTTTTAGGCTGAAAAAGCTGCCCTCGGCTTATACTCGAGTCAAAGTTATTTATTATTTTACTCTGCTATTACTATTATTTTATTACATTTATTATTTTCCTCTATTATTGGTATTATTACATTTGCATTATTTTACTCTATTATTATTTTATTACATTTATTTTACTCTATTATTTTCATTATTACATTTATTATTTTACTTTAGTATTATTGTTATTACATTTATTATTTTACTCTATTATTGGCATCATTACATTTGAAGTATTTTACTCTATTATTATTTTATTACATTTGTTTTACTCTATTTATTATTATTATTATTACATTTATTTTTTTACTTCATTATTGTTGTTATTACATTTATTATTTTACTTTCTTTTTTATTATTGGAAGGATACGTAAGCACTGAAAAAGGTTAGAGTAATGTTTTAATCAAAGTTGGCCAGTCTTATTTTAAATTACAGTTTTATGTAAACATTGAAAAACATTTAACCTACTGTTTCCTCACTTAATGTAATTTTATTGGTATCTATATTTATTTTGTATTACCAGTAGCTGCTGCATTTCCCACCCTCGACTTATATTCGAGTCAATAAGTTTTTTCCCATTTTTTGGTGGTAAAATTAGGTGCCTCAGTTTATATTCGGGTCGGCTTATACTCGAGTATATACGGTATGCTGGGGAAAATGGAAGGAAAAAGGAAGAGGGGGCCGACCAAGGGCAAGATGGATGGAAGGGATCCTTGAAGTGACTGTCTTGACCTTGAAGGAGCTGGGGGTGGTGATGGCTGACAGGGAGCTCTGGCGTGGGCTGGTCCATGACGTCACGAAGTCGGAAATGACTGAACGAATGAACAACAACATGAGGACCTAAGGGTCCAAATGGGTGGATTGTGCAGGGGACAGAGATCCTGTAGCTAACCTGGCCCCAACCCATGTAGGGCTTTAAAGGTTAAAACCAGCACTTTGTACTTTGCTCAGAAATGATATTTTTGTTTATACTTGGGCCCTATCTCCAAGATATCCTATTATGTATGTACATGCAATCACAGCATTTTAAAAAATTAAATAAATAAAAACTCAAAACACTTCTGGTCCCAAGTATTGCAGATAAGGGTTACTCAAACTTATTAATCTGTGATGGCGTCAAAAATGAAACAAGGGAACAAATCAGGGATAGACCAAATTTTATCTTCATTGAACCTTTAAGGACCCACAAAGGCCACTTCTGATCCAAGACTGAACTAACCAGCCTGCTGATTTCTTCCTGTCTATCCGGAGCAGATCTTGCCGTCGCTTTTATCATCGTTGATGTTTGATTGTCTGTTAATTTCTTGATACATCGCTGGCCTGCCACAATGTTACAAACCTGTGGAAATAAGACATGTTAAGTCATATGATAAGACCAAAACTTGAAATATACACATAAATCAAGTTTTCATCTTAACATTGGGTAAGTCCTCATCCTGAATACAATTTTATATGAAGTGATGATATGGCCTATAATGAATGAAAAATAAAATAAAATGTTGTTTTCATATGTAGGCTTATCCGAGATCATTATGTCTGTACTTGTTTGCTTTACAGAAGCATTGAATGTTTGCCTTTTTGTATGTTGGAATCCGCCCTGTGTCCCCCCCAGGGAGATAGGGCGGAATATAAAGTTGCTATTATTATTATTATTATTATTATTATTATTATTATTATTATTATTATTAGAAACACAACAAGATGAGTCCACAGCAGACAAGATCACTCTGCTGGCTCTTGTATTGGATCACACATCGGACACTTCCCAAGTGTCTATGACTGTGTGATGTATCAGCGAATGATGGGTGCAGATCCCAGTAAGGTGGCCTTTTGCAGCTGGCAGATGGTAATTTTGTCAGCGCTGATTGTGTTTAAGTGCAGGCCAAGGTCTTTAGGCACCGCATCCAGTGTGCCAATCACCACTGGGACCACCTTGACTGGCTTGTGCCAGAGTCTTTGCAGCTCAATCTTTAAATCCTCATATCGTGACAGCTTTTCCAGTTGTTTCTCTTCAATCCTGCTGTCACCTGGGATTGCGACATCGATGAGCCATACTTTGTTTTTTAACACGATTGTGAGGTCAAGAGTATTATGCTCCAAAACTCTGTCTGTCTGAATCCGGAAGTCCCAGAGGAGTTTGGCGTGTTCATTCTCTGTAACTTTTTCCGGCTTGTGATCCCACCAGTTCTTTGTCGCAGGCAGATGGTATTTGTGGCACAAGTTCCAATGAATCATATTATTATTATTATTATTATTATTATTATTATTATTATTATTACTTGATACACAAGATTAGTTTCATCCACATCTATGGCAGGCATCCTCAGAGGTTGTGAGGTTTGTTGGAAACAAGGCAAGTGGGGGTTATATATCTTTGGAATGTCCAGGGTGGGAGGAAGAACTCTTGTCTGTTGGAGGCAAGTGTGAATAGCATTGAATAGCCTTGCAGCTTCACAGCTTGACTGCTTCTCGCCTGGGGGAATCCTTTATTGGGAAGTGATTAGCTAGCCCTGATTGTTTCTTGTCTGGAATTCCCGTTTTTGAGTGTTGTTCTTTCTTTGCCTGCCATTGATGTGGGCGAAACAACAGGAAAGAATGCTTCTGGAACATGGCCATACAGCCCAGAAAATTCATAGCAACCCAGCCTTATGGTTGCCTCCAAAGGGCTGTTGAATCCATGGAAGAAAAATCAGTGGATACAGAGGTCCAACTATTATAGTTTTTATATAGTCGTTGGAGCTCTTTAGTTTTTACCTAATTTGGGCCCCAGATGTTATTGAACAACTCCCATCACTTTTGATTATCCACCATGCAGACTGGGGACAATAGGAATTACAGTCCAGAAGCCCTTGTGGCTCTGATGTTGGGGAAAGCTTAAAGGACATTTTAAAGCCTATCTATAAGCCTAGTATCTAAATTCAAACCCCATTCTCCTGACTAAACAGAACAAATTGAGGGATTCCAGAGGTTACTGTATCACAACTCCCATAAATTCTAGTCATGATATCTAATGATGAGGAATACAGGAGTTGTTGTCCAGTGTCTGGAAGGCCCCATAAAATGACATGCAGGCCAGGGTGGATTCTGCCCATGGGCCTCGAGTTTGACACGTGTGATATAAAAGAAAGGTATCAAGCGTCACTCAAACGTTTCGCAACAATTACTTCAAGAGGCAGGTAGGTGTGTTTCTGCTCCTGTCCCACTTGTAGGCAAGGAAGGTGAGGGTATTTCAGCTGGAGGTTGTACTTTTCTCTGAAGTACTGCGCCACCGTTCTTTCCACAGTCTGGCCATTTTCTAATTGCAACGGGAAACTGAAAAAAGAAAATGCACTCTCACAAAAGCCGAAAAGAGAGAATGATCTTAATTCTAGTATGATTTTCTGCAGGAAACAGGGGTCACGATCAACTGGTACATGCTTACAGCCGCAGACGTTTGCTTACGTTTGATGACTGGCAGGTCTCCGTGTAACATTGCAGACACGGTACTTCCTTCTCATTGTTCCACAATGAGTCACTTCAACCTTCAGACCTATTTGAAAACAATGGGGGAGAAAGAACGCCAATGTCAAAGCATGCCTGTCCCCAAAGGTTTGTGTGGTAAACACATATTCGACTCATAACAGCCTGAAAGTGGATTTAAATATAGATATCTCTGAATGACTCGTTTTGATACAATAAGAGAGTCCAAGTGTGATAGCAGGTTTATTCTTATCAAGGCACAATTTTTAGGAAGCGTGACACACACTGGATGCTTATGAGTTCATACATAAAAGAAAGAGTCTAAAACGTAGGGAGGAGGGAGCAAACCAGTTTTCTGCTGCCCTGGAGACAAGGACACAGAACAATGGCTTCAAACTACAGGAAAGGATATTCCACCTGAACATTAGGAAGAACTTCCTGACTGTGAGAGCTGTTCAGCAGTGGAACTCTCTGCCCCAAAGTGTGGTGGAGGCTCCTTCTTTGGAGGCTTTTAAGCAGAGGCTGGATGGCCATCTGCCAGGGATGCTTTGAATGCGATTTTCCTGCTTCTTGGACTGGATGGCCCATGAGGTCTCTTCCAACTCTATGATTCTAAGCCAGGTATGGACAAACTTGGGTGCCCTATGGCGGGCTGGAAAGAAGAGGGTTCTCCCTAAGCCCCCTCGCTTCCCTTTCCTGCTCTTCCTCTTTTCTGTCAGAGGCAGAAGTGAAGGAAAGACCGGAAACGTTTGGATCCCAAAAGGTCCGGATGAGATGGTGGACAGGAGAGAAAAAGTGTATCCATTAGACCCCCTTAATTTCCTACCTCTAATATAGAATCCTAGAGCTGGAAGACACCCCCGAGGGCCACCCAGTCCAATCACCTGCCATGCAAGAAGGCACAATCAAAGCACTCCTAATGGATAGCCTCTGCGGAAAAGCCTCCAGAGAAGGAGTCTCCATCACACTCCGAGGCAGCCAGTATGTCACTCTCCAACAGCTCTTACTTTCAGAAAGTTCTTAGTAAGCTTTTCTGTCAAGTCTCTTTCCCTGCCATTTGAAACCATTGCTCCCTTGTGCCCTGGTCTCTACAGCAGCACAATGTCAGTTCCCCCCACCTCCTCCTCAATGGGACACCCTTTTAAATCTTGAAACATGGTCCTCATGTTCCCTCTCTACCTTCTCCCAGCTAAACATCCCCCAGGAGGAAAGAGGGAAGGAAAAAGAAAAGGAAGGAAGAGAGGAAAAGAAGGATGGAAGGAAGGGTGGAAGAGAATTGAGGGAAGGAAGGGGGCAGGGAGGGAGGGAGGGAAGAAAGAGAGAAGAAAGGAAGAACAAGAAAGGAAGGAAGGAAGGAGTAAGTGAGAGAGGGAAGGAGGAATAATAATAATAATAATAATAATAATAATAATAATAAACCTTTATTTATACCCCGCCACTATCTCCCCAAGGGACTCGGAGCGGCTTACATGAGGCCAAGCCCAACACATCAAAAACAACAAGCAATAATAAAACAACAAGCAATAAACAATACAATTAATATAACGCACAAGTAGACAATAACATACAAAACTTTAAAAAGCTATGGCTGGGCCAGATGTAATAGTTAAAACTTTAAAAATAAATGCTGGACATGAGCAGAGGATGTATCTAGTAGGAGGGTTTTAAATCAAAGGTAAAGAGCAACCCAATGGGTAATTAAAGTGCTTCTCAGAGTATTTGCAGGGGATTGTTTCCTTTATTCAGGGAAGGCACACTYGAACAGCCACGTTTTCAGGCTCCTCCTAAAGACTGCCAATGTGGGGCTTGTCTGATATCCTTGGGGAGTGAGTTCCAGAGTCAGGGGGCAACCATAGAGAAGACCCTCCCCCTCGTCCCCACCAATTGCGCCTGCAAGGGAGGTGGGAGCAAGAGCAGGGCCTCCCCAGATGAATGAAGAGATCYTGTGGGTTCGTACACAGAAATGTGGTCACACAGGTAGGTGGGTCCCAAACCTTTCAGGAATTTGTAGGTCAGAACCTGCACCGTGAATTGGGACCAGAAAATGAATGGCAGCTAATGGAGCTCCTTAAACAAGGGGGAACACTCCCTGTAAGTCACCCCAGTAAGTAACCTGGCTGCCACCCYCTGGACCAATTGAAATTTCCGAGCCGTKTTCAAGGGCAGCCCCACGTAGAGTGCATTACAGTAATCCAATCTGAGGTGACTAAGGCGTGGACCACCCTGGCCAGATCAGACTTCACGAGGTGCAGTCGCAGCTGGTGCACGAGTCTTAGTTGTGCGAAGGCCCTCTCAGCCACCACCGATGTTTGAGCTTCAAGCGTTAGCGATAAGCCTAGGAGGTCACCCAAGCTGCGGACCTGAGCCTTCAGGGGGAGTGCAACCCCATCAAGCACAGGTTGCCACCCTATAACCCGATCCGGCTTACAATCGACCAGGAGGACCTCTGTCTTGGAAGGAAAGAAGGAAGGAAAGGAAGGAAGGAAGGAAGGAAGGAAGGAAAGAAGGAAGGACAAAAGGGTTGACGGGAAGGGAAGGGAGAGGAAGAAAGAGGGAGGTAAGGAAGCAAGGGAGGGAGGAAAGGAGCAAGGAAAGAGAGAAGGAAGGAAGGATAGAATGGTGAGAGAGAGGAGAGCTTGAGAAAAGAGCCCAAGGGGCCACATCTGGCCCCCAGGCCTGGGTTTGCCCATACCTGTTCTAAGCCATAAGTGGATCCAAAAGCCCAGCCTGTAATTTCAGAGGGCCCCTCTCCGCATTTTATTTTGCATGCACGCACACAGGTATACCTAAACATTATCTAATATTCAACAAACTACAAGGGTGAGTCAAAAAGTTTTCCGCACTCTGGCTGTAGAATTTATTTGAATCAACTTTCATCTTTTTCAGCATAATGTCCCTGTTTTTCAATACAATTTTCCATCTGTCAACAAGCTTACGTATTCCCTTATTTAAAATGTTTTAGGTTGAGCTGCGAGCCACAAATGTACTGCTGCACTGCTGTCTTCACAGCTTCAGACATGAATCTTTCTCCTCTTTCAAGGGACCAAACGGGTGACAGTCCAACAACGAGGCAACGCCATGGCAATAGGGAAGATGCTTTACCACTTCAAAACAACGTTTTTGGAAATTATTATTATTATTATTATTATTATTATTATTATTATTATCTGCATTTGTATACCGCTTTTCTCACCCCTGGGGGGGACTCAAAGTGGTTTACAACATAATAAATGGCAAATTCAATGCCTCACATATATATATAAATATCACATATCTAAATCAATAACGGATGAATTGATGTTTTATCATCCTTGTGGGAGGCTTCTCTCATGTCCCCGCATGAGGAGCTGGAGCTGATAGAGGGAGCTCATCCGCCTCTCCCCGGATTCGAACCTGCAACCTGTCGGTCTTCAGTCCTGCCGGCACAGGGGTTTCACCCACTGCACCACCGGGGGCTCCATATAACATAAATAACTTTGTATAACAATAACACAAAGTTATTTGTGTTGACAGTATGGGCAGCAGTGTGCCACACAACAACACAATGCATCTGGATAGCAGTCCTCTGTGTCTTGTCTGAATTTGAGGCTTTACTCCTTCAGTGAGCATCTCACTGTATTAAGAACTGTTGATCGCTGAACCTTTTTTCTGATAATGTTCCAATATTGCCCTTCTTTTGTGCAAATTAGCCATTTTTTCTTTCACTGCAGTTTCAAATAAACTGACGTAACACTTTCAAAACTGCACAGCATTGAATGGGGAGACAATGTCCTCATATGGAAAATGCTGATAAGTTTTAATATAACCAGAGTGTGGATATTTTTTGACTCAACCTCGTGCATGGCTTTGCTTTTGAATATCTAATGAAATTGACAGATATCTTCCTCATTAAAAAGTCAACATAGAAAAGAAACCGGATAACAAAAAACTTTTATGCACTCGGTTTATTGCACTCCCAAAGCCCAAATAAGGATGCTGGTTCTCGTGAAACACAGATTATGATTCCCAGTGATAGAAGGATCTGTTCACAAGGTAAACCCCAAATTATATTGATAAGGGAGGCAACCCTGGATTTAATAGAATAGGTATTTTTGACGTTAAAAATGAAGACATATGCCAGAATTCACATGCATTACCAGAACATGCATTATGTATAAATCTGTACAGATGTGCTACAAAAGATGAAGAGTTATGGCATGAATTTTTGACATTCACATAAAAGAGTTTGAAGAGCGTTTAGCAAGGGCAGAAAAGAGAACTGAAAATATTGTGGGTTGCTCTCTAGGGTTCATTTGCTCTGTTTTCTACTTACCCTTTATCTCTTTGGTGAATTTTACCCGGTGAGAATCAGTCAGAGGTCGCGGTTGTTCATCAATGTTGTGAATGTCAAGAACTTCACACATGAACTGAATGACAGGTTGTGCTTTGTAGAAGGCAGTGGCAGAAACTAAAAAGAGAAAAAAAATTAAAGAGACAGATAAGGAAGTGGATGTTCTCCAAAACCGTTCTTTCCTGGAGAGCAGAGCAGGCAATTTTTTGCCATAGTTTGGTCCTCTGGATGAATTACCTGTAAGTATGAAGTTTGAAACTTTTCCATCCCATGTTTGACTTCATATTTATATTAAAAGGCGTATCAAATTTAGCTTTACATTTTCAATTACACTTTTTCAATATTTGGTTTAGAAAATTTTTAGAAATCTAGATCTTTATGAAACTACAGGTTCAAAACACATGGTCTTCCTTATGATTAAACAAATGGAAGAATGTAAAGCAGGCAGTTTGAATTCAAGTAATAATAAATAAGATTTATGTTTATTTAATCAAACAAACATGCCTTTTTAATTCCAACAAGATTCAGTATTCTTCAAATGACTTCTAACTGACATCAGAAAGAAACAAATATCATGGTATATTGTACATCTACATTCACACTTAGTTTTGAGCCTAGCATGTCATCTTAACTATTCAGAAATCCAAAGCAACTCTGAAGTTCTGCCATTATATTATTATTATTATTATTATTATTATTATTATTATTAGATACATAACAAGATTAGTACACAGCAAAGAAGATCACTATGCTGGTTTTGTATTTGATCATACGTTGGACACTTCCCAAGTGCCTAGGACTGTGTGATGTATCGGTGAATAATGCGTGCAGATCTGAGTTGTGTGGCCTTTTGTAGCTGACAGATGGTGACTTTGTCAATACAGATTGTTTTCAAGTGCAGGCCATGGTCTTTAGCACTGCACCCACTGTGCTGACCACCACTGGGACCATCTTAACTGGTGGTCTCAGTGGTGATCGGTACACTGGGAGCAGTGCCTAAATACCTTGGCCTGAACTACCTATTATTATTATCATTATTCACAATCAATTAGAAGCAAAATGGCCCAATAAATCTAAACTCTAAAACAAGAACTACATAATAACCCAACCCATAATTTCCTCCATCCCTACCAACACAAACTAACAACTAGCTTCTATCCTCCCATATTTAAAAATAACATAAAACAATGAAATAATGCAAATTAAAAAAATATTAAAAACATAGCTGACATTTCCTGTGCTCAAGCTATCTATTTTTTCAATAAATGCTCATTATGCAATAGTTTACAACAGAAAAAGAATATAATCTGTGTAACACATACATTCAGCATGATATGTACTAAAGCAGCATTTAGGAGTATCTGAAAGTTTACTGCATTAGAAATGGTTAACAAAGTCATGATGAATACATTCCCACCTTTGCTGTACTGACTGGACACAAGGCACACATTGGGAGCACTTTCCATACAGCAAAATTACTAGACTGTGAAACAGTTAATGAGATATTTCTGAGGTTCCCAGGCCTCGAGTGCACCAAACAGAATGTTCCCCATACAAATACAACAAAACATTCTTCAGATATGCGTCACCACCAGCTCCCTGCCAACTTCGCATGGCTCACGCTCGATGCCTGCAGATGCCAATGAACTGAATGGCCACAAATGGTCGAGACCCAACCCCGGCAAAGCCCCAACCTGCGGCAGTTTGTCACCATGGTGAGCATTTGCCAAGCCAATTGGAAGAGATTTTGTAAGTATTCTGTGGTGAAAGGACAGAGCTTAAGACGTTTCAGAAGACTTCTTGCCCAAATTTCCAAACAAGTTAGAGAGTGATTCTCCCACATCATAGACTTAAATTCCTCAACTGCAATGTTTGAATAGGCATAACAAGCTAAAAATGAATGAGCACCTTGCCTGTCACCTTTCAGCTTTGGTTGATTTAAAGCAGGGGTCCTCAAACTTTTTAAACTTTTTAAACAGCAGGCCAGGTCATAATCCCTCAAACTGCTGGAGGGCCGGATTATAATTTGGAAAAAAAAATGAATGAATTCCTGTGCTCTCTGCACATATCTTATTTGTGGTGCAAAAACAGTTAAAAACAATACAATAATTAAAACGAGGAACAATTTTAACAAATATAAACTTATTAGTATTTCAATGGGAAGTGTGGGCCTGCTTTTGGCTGATGAAATAGGATTGTTGTTGTTGTTGTTGTGTGCTTTCAAGTTGTTTCAGACTTAGGTTGACCATGAGCGAAGGCCGGGTAAATGACCTTGGAAGGCCGTAACTGGCCCCCAGGCCTTACTTTGAGGACCCCTGATTTAAAGCATACAGATTAGTCGTGTGAATTCGGGGTAATACTTGATCTGTTTTGTGTTCCAGCTTTCGGTGGAGGCCCTGATCCGTTTCTACTGAGCATCCCGAAATTGGGAGGGCAGATTTTTGTTTTCAGTGCTGAATGATCAGTTTTCTTTTGGAGCATTATTTGTGCAGGGTGGGGGGGAGCTTACCACCCAGGCTCCCCTTCCCAATGCGTGCTTTTGGAGGGGGTTTGCCTCACCTTCATCTGGGAAGTCAAAAGTTGAAGACCCATTCTGTTTGCTGCCGGTGGTCTTGCTCCACAAACCATAGCCCCAAAGCACCCAGGGATGTAAGGGCCTGCATCTGAGTGCCAAGTAAGCTGCGCTCCTTACTTGGCATTCGGCTTCAGGCCCTGGCAGGCCTGGGCGCTTTAATAAAATAATAATAAAACTTTATTTATACCCCGCCACCATCTCCCCAAGGGACTCGGAGCAGCTTACATGAGGCCAAGCCCAACAGCACATCAAAAACAACAAGCAATAATAAAATAACAAGCAATAAACAAAAATAAACAATACAATTAATATAACTCATAAGTAGGCAATAACACATAAGAGTTTAAAAACCTATGGCTGGGCCAAATGAAATACTTAAAACTTTAAAAATAAATGCTGGACATGAGCAGAGGATGTAGCTATTAGGAGGGTTTTAAATCAAAAGTAAAGAGCAACCCAACGGGTAATTAAAGTGCTTCTCAGAGTGTTTGCAGGGGATTGTTTCCTTTATTCAGGGAAGGCACGTTTTCAGGTTCCTCCTAAAGACTGCCAATGTGGGGGCTTGTCTGATATCCTTGGGGAGTGAGTTCCAGAGTCGAGGGGCAACCATGGAGAAGGCCCTCTCCCTCGTCCCCACCAATTGCACCTGCGAGGGAGGTGGGAGCGAGAGCAGGGCCTCCCCAGATGAACGAAGAGATCGTGCGGGTTCGTACACAGAAATGCGGTCATGCAGGTAGGCGGGTCCCAAACCATTCAGGGCTTTGTAGGTCAGAACCTCCACCTTGAATTGGGATCGGAAAATGAACGGCAGCCAATGGAGCTCCTTAAACTGTGAAGTTGACTGCTCTCTGTAAGTTGCCCCAGTAAGTAACCTGGCTGCTGCCCGCTGGACCAATTGAAATTTCCAAGCTGTCTTTAAGGGCAGCCCCACATAGAGTTCATTACAGTAATCCAATCTAGAGGTGACTAAGGCTTTGGGCCTATGCACATGGCAATTGATCCGAAAAACGGGTTTAGAGCTGGTACCCATTCCCACTTGCCTTTTGTATCAAGTTTATTTTCGTTTCAGGAGGGGTCTTCCCATTCTGTGCCATCCGAATGGATGGAAAGAAACCGAAACATGAATCAAACAGATGATACCGATACTGGGCCCATGATTAACACAGATAAAATGAAGGCAAGGAGTTAATTAATTCTATAGAACCACATAACATTTAAAATAACTTGTTAAATATCCTCCCATCATCTAATCAAACCTGAAATCAGTGGCCTATATTTGAACATAGCTGTTTCCAGCCTATGGAAAGACAAATCTACCATAGTTTTCTTTACCGAATTTGTTTTTAGGCTAAGAAAGCATAATTTGCACTCAATGTGTTTCCCATGACTGAGCAGAGATTCAAATTCAGGTCTGCAGACCCATAATATAATGCTTAAACTCCTAAAAACACTGGCTCATTAACTCCAAATGGCATCATTGTTTACCTGGCTTATACACCTGCCACTACCTGGACTTTCTGCACATAAAAGCAGGCATTCATTAAGATGGTCATCTGTTTCCCATTCTTGCCAAACTACATTTGGCATCAGGAAAATATTAAGGGTATATTCAGGTGAATAATTTATATTCTAGTGTTGCCTGTGGTTTCAGGGTTTTTTTTTAATTGTATCAGAAGCGACTTGAGAATGAATATACTGCAAGTCGCCTCTGATGTGAGAGAATGGGCTGTCTACAAGAATGTTGCCCAGGGATGCCCAGATGTGTTACCATCCTGTGGTATATTTCTCTCATGTCCCCGTATGGGAAGCTGGGGCTGACAGATGGGAGCTCAACCCATTTTACGGATTAAAACTGCTGACCTTCAGGTATTCAGGTCAGTAGTTCAGCCGGCACTAGGGTTTAACCAATTGTGCCACCGCAGCTCAGTTTAAAGATTATCCAATATTCTTCCTTGATATTTGGTTTTAAGCCATTACTTGCTTTTACTGATTTGGCATCACTTAAATGTAAACTGCCAACAAAATTAAAGTAACCTATTTTGCAAAAGGAAACACCAGGTAAAACACCAATAATTTTCCTATTCAAATCAAATGTGTTCTTTATACAAGAGACAGAGCGTTATGAAAGAAGTGGGCGGAAATATGGTACGACTCAGAGACTAACCACTCAGAACCCATGACTACTGAGTTCCCTGAAAAAAAATGTATCATAATCTGATTCATAAGGGGGACATGAGAGATGCCTCCCCGCAGGATTGCAAGACATCCGGCGTCCCCTGGGCAACGTCTTCGTAGATGGCTGATTCTCTCATTCCAGAAGCGAATTGCAAAAAGTGGGCGCTCGAAACAATATCATTCAAAAGCTGACTGGCACAACCTGGGGATCACAACCAGATACAGTGAAGACATCTGCCCTTGCGCTGTGCTACTCTGCTGCTGAGTATGTATGCCCAGTGTGGAACACATCTCACCACGCTAAAACAGTGGATGCGGCTCTTAATGAGACATGCCACATTATCACGGGGTGTCTGCGCCCCACACTACTGCAGAAATTACACTTTTTTTGTCGTGTCAGGCGCGACTTGAGAAACTGCAAGTTGCTTCTGGTGTGAGAGAATTGGCCGTCTGCAAGGACGTTGCTCAAGGGACGCCTGGACGATTTGATGTTTTTATCATCCTTGTGAGAGGCTTCTCTCATGTACCCGCATGAGCTGGAGCTGATAGAGGGGCTCATCCGCCTCTCCTCGGATTTGAACCTGTGACCTGACGGTCTTCAGTCCTGCCGGCACAGGGGTTTAACCCACTGCTCCACCGGGGGCTCCTTAGAAATTACACTGTTTAGCCGGTATTGCACCACTTGACATCCGCCGGGGAGTAGCAACCAATAGTGAAAGGACCAAGGCAGTGACATCTCCGGCCCACCGCATTTGGGTATCAGCCAGCACGCCAACGACTTAAATCAAGAAATAGTTTCCTAAGATCTACAGAGACATTCGCTGGAACACCTCAGCAAGCGAGAGTCCAAAAGTTGCAGGCTCAAACCCAGAACCAAATGAGAGACTTCCCCCTGGGCACACAGAAAACAGGGCGACTTGGAAGGCGCTGAACAGACTGCGCTCTGGCACCACGAGATGCAGAGCCAACGTCAAGAAATGGGGCCACAAAGTGGAATCCACAACATGCGAGTGTGGAGAAGAGCAAACCACAGACCACCAACTGCAATGCAACCTGAGCTCTGCCACATGCACAATGGAGGACCTTCTTGCAGCAACACCAGAGGCACTCCAAGTGGACAGCTACTGGTCAAAGGACATTTAATGGAATACCAAGGCTGCAAACTTTGTGTTTTGTTTGTTTGTTTTTAATGCAATACAACTGTTTTGGTTCGCTCCTGACATGCTAAATAAATAAATACGGTCACTTATGCCTTCACTTTTAAGATGCAAGAATGCAATCTCGCTTTATTTAAACACTAAACCACAGGATTACAGTGAAGGATTTACTCCATTCAAGCGAAATCCATCCACTCCTGGTTTAGGGAAGACTAAGAGTCAGATTAAAGAGCAACAGGGAGGAAAGTGATCACGACTTGCAGTTCAAATGTGACAACACAGTTTGGAAGAGCAGCAAATATATATTCCTTTACCTCCACCAAATGAATTAACCTGAAAGTCCTTTAGGCACAGAGACTTGTTTAGCCACATGTGTCTTTCAACTCAAGGAAAAAGTGTGTAGGCCATAAAACAAAGGCAACAGACTTAACCTGTACTCTAAAGCGAGACTTATACAACCAAGCATTTTAATTTCCAAACACGATTGCGAAAAAGGTAACAGTTCTACAAACTGACACATCCCCTTCCATTTATGCGATCACGAACACAGGTCTGTTGTCTTACCATCTATGTTTAGCATCATTTTCCACATTGCAGGCCGAACAGACTGATGGAATCCGAACCATACTTCCCGGCCACCTCCCAAGGGATGGTCATAACCTTCTGGAGCAGAGAAAAAAGAGCGGCCTACAGGTGTATACCTGTGTAAAAACAAGGAGTCAAATTATACTACCGTTGCTCATACAGATTCTTCTTCAAACAGTCTATATAAATAAAAATGTAATGTTTGTTTGTGGGATAAACATAACTCAAAAGCCACTGGACAGATTGCCACCAAATTTGGACACAATACACCCACAACCCCAAGCAGTGACTACAACTAAAAAAATGGATTTTGTCATTTGGGAGTTGTAGTTGCTGGGATTTACAGTTCACCTACAATAAAAGAGCATTTTGAACCCCACCAATGATGGAATTGAACCAAACTTGGCACACAGAACTCCCACAACCAACAGAAAATTCTGGGTTTGGTGGGCATTGGCCTTGAGTTTAGGAGTCACAGTTCACCTACATCCAAAGAGCACTGTGGACTCAAACAATGATGGATCTGGACCAAATTTGGCACAAGCACTCAATCCGCCCAAATATGAACAAATGATGGAGACGGACCAAACTTAGCATGAATATTCCATATGCCCAAATGTGAACACTGGCGGAGTGTGAGGAAATAGACCTTGACATTTGGGAGTTGTAGTTGCTAGGATTTATAGTTCACCTACAATCAAAGAGCCTTCTGAACCCCACCAATGATGGAATTGGGGCAAACTTCCCACATAGAACCCCCATACTTAAGGCCAACCAGTCCAACTCCCTTCACCAGGACAAGAAAACGTAATCAAAGCCCTCCTGATGAAGAGCCATCCAGCCATAGATATAGATAGATAGATAGATATGATTCACACACACAGAGAGATATAGTATCATAGATTTGAAAGGGACCCGTAAAGAAGGACAATGATATGTTGCAGGTTCCAGAGTAGGCAAACTAGACAATCACCACATTAACACTGACAAAGAAACAGCAAGAAATAGTGTTTACCCACAAGCAGAAAGACATTACATATATTAGAAACCAACACTTTCTCATTACTTTATTTTCCAGATCACCACACTGGGTCACAGCAACACGTGGTAGGGGACAGCTAGTATCTTATAAAAAGGTAATTCGGAAAGGAGTGGCTTACTGTATAGGGTCAGCCTAAAAACATTTGGTTACTTAAGATGAAAGCTTCCACATTCAAAAGCCAAAGGGACAAGAAGCTGAAATGTTTATCTTGGTTGGGATGGGAAAAGGGTAGTATCCAATATTTCACCATAGAGTGACAGGATAGCTTAAGGGGCAAAAGACAAGCTTTGTGACTTTAATGGCTCTCTGTTTCAAAATCCTCAAGTAGGATTGATTTAATCATTTGGGAGTTGTAGTTTCTGGGATTTATAGTTCACCTACAATCAAAGAACATTCTGAACTCTACCAACGATGGAATTGAACCAAACTTTGCACACAAAACTCCCATGACCAACAGAAAACACTGGAAGGGTTTGGTGGGCACTGGCCTTGAGTTTTGAAGTTGTAGTTCACCTACGTCCAGAGAGCACTGTGGACTCAAACAATGATGGATCTGGATGAAACTTGGCATGAATACGCAATATGCCCAAATGTGAACACTGGTGGAGTTTGGGGGAAAACAGACCTTGACATTTGGGAGTTGTAGTTGCTGGGATTTATAGTTCACCTATTATCAAAGAGCATCTTGAACCCCACCAATGATAGAATTGGGCCAAACTTCCCACCAGAACCTCCATGGTCAACAGAAAATACTGTGCTTCCTGATGGTATTTGGCAGTACCCGACACCCCTTTTGACTCACCTAGGAGTCCTGACCCTCAAATTGAGAAACGCTGGTTTAACTCATTGCGCTACAGAGGGCTATTGGGTTGCAACCCCATTATCCCCAGTCCACATGGTATATAACCAAAAGTGATGGGAATTGTCATTTAATAACAGCTGGGGATCCATGGCAGTCAGTATTTTATTGACTACCATGTAAAATAATATACTTGGCCTTCTGTATCCATCAATTCAATGGCTATTTGAAGGCAACCACAAGGCAGATGTGGCCCTCCATCAAAATGAGTTTGACACCCCTGATCTAAGTAGTGCTAGCTGAGGTTCCAGCTCTCCTCTCTTAAACCTCACTTAGATGAAGGGGATTTACTTAGTACTTTGTCTGAAGAGAAAAAAGGATGTTTTTCAAGTGTTCTTAGGAGCCCAAAAAAATGAGGACTTTATCAAGAAACAGCATTTTTGGTCCAGTGGTTTTGACAGCTACTTTAATAACTTTTCTTTCTATCTGTGTAGAACTTTCTGTCCTTGAAGTGCTGCGCATACATTCTTTCACTTCTGCTTACGACATGTACAATAGGTTTGTTTTCCCAGTTTCCATGCTGTGAGATAGAGACTCATCTTAAATTGTTTAACAACTTTGTAGCAGAGGTAGAAATTAAACTCTGGGCACCTGGTTTCATTCTTTGGTCTCTTAGGCCCCTTCCACACAGATTAATAAAATCCCACATTATCCGCTTTGAACTGGAATATATTGTAATTTATTTCATATCAAAAGCATTGCATTTGTATAAAACCAATAAAAATAGAAGGAGCGCAGGTAACTAAATATCTTTTTACCAAAAACAGGCAACAGCAATGGCATTGTCTGTAGCCTCCAACAAATCTTCCTCTGTACATGAGGCAGGGCATAGTGGACAAGCATACAGATGTGGAGTTGTCTGTTCTGCTCCGCAGTCACATAGGGTGTGGGATTCTTTTAGGTAGTGCCATTTTGCCAGGTTGTCTTTTGTTCTGCCCAATCCACTTCTGAGTCTGTTCAGGGACTTCCAYGTTGCCCATTCTTGGAGGAAGACCCTCGTGGGGGGSCATCCAGTTGGGGTTTCCTGGTTGAGCTGCCCTGGAGAAAGACCCTCGTGGGGGGCCATCCAATTGGGGTTTCCTGGTTGAGCTGCCCAGAGGGATATCCTTGCTGTTGCTGGGGGGACGCCAAGAGGAGTGGTAGTTCTCATAAAGCTTTTCCTTGATTTGAGTCTACTGGGAGGAGGATGGTAGCCATTTAGTTGATGGCTTTCATGGTGTTCAACCTTATTTCTCTCACATTTAGCAGCAACTTCCTGTCGCACATCGCAGGGGGGGGGGGCAATGCCAACTAGCTTGTAGAATTTATCAACAGTTTAAGACATCCTGTGATTATTCTGCATGTTTCATTCAATGCTATGTTCACCTGCTTTGCATGGGCAGACCTATGCCAAACAGGGCAGGCATACTCGGCAGTTGAGTAAGACAAGGCTAGGGCTGTTGTTCTTACTAATTTCGGGTCTGCACCCCATGTGCTGCCAGTAAGTTGTTGTTTTTTTTAATATGGTAGTGTGGACTCAGATCATCCAGTTTAAACCAGATATTGTGGGATTTTCTGCCTTGATATTTAGGGTTATACAGCTGTGTGGAATGGCCCTCAGTCTCAATACCTCACCTCAATCTTATGTTTCACTTCTATTTCTGAAACCAACCATCTCCAACAGTTTACTTTTTATTATGTTAAAGAGAACGATCCAGAGAACCGATAACACTGTTCAACGGAGAAAAAGTTGCGGGCCTGAAAATAGTTGTTCTTTTATGATTTTGGGGTGCTGAAAACAAAAATAACATTTAAAAATGTATACTGGCTCTAGTTTTTATGATATAAGCAATCACGTGATCATGTATGGTTGAAAAAATGCATGTTGCGACTTACACTATGGAAGATTCTAGAATATTCTAGAAAGTTTGATGACGCAGTATTAGTGCCGTGTGCAAAAGCCAGAAAGCCCTATATAAGGCCAGACTTTTGAACGGCGAGGGTCAGTCAGCTGAAGACTAGGACAATATCGTTAAACATCGTTTTACATTGTTCTTTTTACTGTAGTTATGCCTCGCACGTGTGTAAATAAAGCACAATGGAAAAAAGATATCAAGGTAAATGGATTCCGTCAATGCTGTCAGACTACTGCTGGAGCATTGTAAGAGACAATCCTTTCCTTGAATACAAAAGAAAAGTCAAGAGAAGCAAACAGGATATAAACTAAAGTCACGATTAAAGCGACATTTAAACTTTCAGACTTTTCAACTGCATTAGACCTACTAATATAGTTTCTTGCTGCACAAATATAAACAATCGACTAATTAAATAAATATTTCTCATGTATAAACTATTGGCAATATAATTTGACTAAAATTTAGTAAATATTCACGGTTTATATACATGCAGTAAGGTTAGGCGCATTATCATAATATTAACGAATTACCTATTGTGGAGAAAATTGAAATAGCTGTTGCATAAAAACCAGAGCCAATTAACACATTTAATTATTATATTTGAATTCAGCATGTTAAATTTATTAAGAAACGACACATTTCGTTTCCGCAACTGAGAAAAACTGAAAATTTGTACAGCAGTGTAACCTACTTCATTGAGGGTAAATGTCGTAGCACCACGTCAACAGCATGAACAGGGTTAGTGCTGATGGGCTTGTCTAGTTCCAAAGGTTCAGGCAAGGTCCGTCCTGTGAGAACCTCGTGCAGCAAGTGCCAGCTAACCCGGGAAACAAATTTTATTGACACTTTGAAAGGACGGTCTTTGCCACCTTCACCTGGCAAGGTGACATCCAAATCAACCTGTTGGAAGAACAAAAACAGTCTTCAGAGAGCTATTTTAAACACATTGGGTTGAGAAAGCAGAAGAGACACACATAAAGCAAAATTAGTGGAAAGCTGTTGCCCAAGATTCCCAAAATGAAACCCGGATTTTCTCCAAATCCACTGATTTAATGAACAAAACAGGATTTTACAACCCACTAGCCATACTGTTCTCACAATATGAATATACAAATGCATGGTCATCATCTCTCAAATTCCATAGATATGCCACAACTGCAGCCATGAAATCTTGAAACATATGTAATCCTGTCTCTTAAGCATTATACAAGATACTCGACAGTACAGGCACCCCTGGTTTTTTGACAGGCGAAGGAGCACAACACTGTCAAAAAGTGGAAATGGCTGAAAAGTAGAATCCCAGTGTTTACATATGTAGGTGGAGTTTGTTTCCAAAATATACAAAATCCACCTGAATAAATTTTATAGGAATCAGGGGAAAACATGTTGACAATATGCATTCTTTTGCTATAGAATGTGATTTTCCAAGCCCTGTACCAAAGAGATTTGAACATACATTGAAAATACAGTTCGAAATAATGGGTTATCAAAAATCTAATGTGTGTTCAATTTCCAAAACCCTGAAACCAAAAAAAAAAAAAAAAAGGTATTTGCTGCCGAATGTAATATGCAGTGGCATATTTGTAATTTGATCAACAAAAGTGTGCATTACAGTTGCTGCATCCTTTAAATTCCTTCTTTAAAATAAAAATACTAGAATACAAAAGCTTCCAGCAATGAAAAGGAAAACCTTGGGGTGTATCTATGCTTTAGAATGAATCCACCTTAACTGCCTTGGTTCAATGTTATGAAATTGTATGGGTTTACAAGGTCTTCAGCCTACTCTGTCAAAGAATGCTGAGGCCTCACCTCACCAAACTACAAATCCCAGGGTTGCATAGCATTGAGCCACAGCAATGAAATTAGAGCTGACGTTCCTCAAATAGGAGCTCCAGATGTTCCTGAAGCACCTTCCGTTTGGCTTTGGCTCAGCACTAAGAATACCCGTATTATATTAATCTAATGCTAATGCATGGGGCTCCTGGTAGCATAACGGGTTAAACCACTGAGCTGCTGAACTTGCTGATCGAAAGGTTGGCGGTTCGAATCCAGGGAGTGGTGTGAGCTCCTGCTGCTAGGTCCAGCTTCTGCCAACCTAGCAGTTCAAAAACATGCAAATGTGAGTAGATCAATAGGTACTGCTTCTGCGGGAAGGTAATGGTGCTCCATGCAGTCATGCTGGCCACATGACCAAGGAGGCATCTATGGACAACGCTGGCTCTTTGGCTTAGAAATGGAGATTAACACCACCACCCCCCAGAGTTGGACATGACTAGACTTAATGTCAGGGGAAAACCTTTACCTTAATGCTAATGCACGCCCTACTTTTGGCAAAGTAAATTAAGTTTTAAAACATGAGTATTAGATTTGAGTAAATAGGGTAATAAAAAAGCCGGGAATGTCTATGTAGAAAATACATAAACATATTTCATACGTATCCATGGTTGATTTCAAGCAGCAACTGGGTTGGGGAGGTTAGGACAACAATGCAGAGGGTGTTGTGGTTTAAATGTGTTCCTTCTGAGCCAGAGGTCCAAGAAAAACTGGACACCACAAACTACAGGGTGAAGCAGAATAACTTCCTTTTTTAAATGTGCGCCATTCAGTCGGTTGAAGACGTAGCGGAGCGCTCGTTCGAAAGGCGGGAGTATAAAGTTTTGTCCTGACACAGTTCAGTCGCCATCATGTGTTGGAACAGTGAGGAGCGTGCTTTTGCCGTTGAGGCCTACTTTTCGAGCGGATTTGGAGTGACCGGCCCACTCTCCAGATTTGGCCCCTTGTAATTTTTTTCTATGGGGTTTTTTGAAATCCCGTGTTTATGTGAACTGTCCAAGGACCCTACAAAATTTGAAGACCAACATCCAGGAAGAAATTGCCAACATAACGCCTGCTATGCTGGCAAGAGTCATAACAAATGCCAGAAATCGGTTTACTCAGTGTATGGAGAATGGAGAATGGGGGACGTCACCTACCTAATTTGATCTTCAAAACTACGTAAAACAAAACTTCAGGTATGCGCCTACATTATATAAAAAAAATCTGATTCATACAATAGGTTTTATTAAGTTTTGAAAAAAGGAAGTTATGCTGCCTCACTCTGTATTTGTTTCTCAAGAAAAGCTGACAGCAAGGCTAATGGCAGCATTAGAGGAGCATTTTTCAATTTGGTAATGGCAAGCAAAATGTGAGTTCCACTGTCCCACAACCACACCCCATTTCCCCAGTATGTCTGCCCTTCTACAAAATAGTGTCATATATTTCAGAGTGTCTAATGTGTCCACCTGAGGATGTGATATCGAGTTTCCAAAACCCACACTAAAATAATTACAATCCAATAGAAGTTAAATACACACAGAGATTCTACTATGTTTCAAGGTTCATCTATATAATAATAAGGGAGCCTCTGGTGGCGCAGCAGGTTAAACTGCTGAGTTGCTGAACTTGCTGACTGAAAGGTTGGCGGTTCAAATCCGGGGAGCAGGCTGAGCTCCTGCTGCTGGGCCCAGCTTCTGCCAACCTAGCAGTTAGAAAACATGCAAATGTGAGTAGATCAATAGGCACCACTCCGGCAGGAAGGTAATGGCGCTCCATGCAATCATGCCGACCACATGATCTAGGAGGCATCTACGACCAATTCTGGCTCTGCAGCTTAGAAATGGAGATGAGCACCACCACCCAGAGTTGGTTACAACTAGACTTAATGTGAAGGGGAAACCTTTGCCTTTACTATATAAGACTGATTTTTTGGGAGGCTGCATCCAGACTAGTATATTGATCTCAAAAACTCTATTTGAATTTTGCACATTGAACCCAACCTTTTAAGCCTTTCCTCCATATGAAATGCAGAAATGACCCACATTTGTGTCCTTCTCCAAGAGCTTCCCTGACATTATCACCCACATTTTGCTTGTTGTAGCTTCATGAAGTGTCCACTGACTCTACAATTGCCATTCTCAGAAAGGAAAGCTATTACTTTAGCTTTCAAACCATGGGAACTTGAGGCAAGACAAAACTAACTTACCCCAGTTGTTGCCACAGGGAGTGGGTTGGCTGTATAAAGGCTTCTTTTCCCATCATAAACTGGTCTGCGGTCCCCAAATATTGTCACTTTAAAATGCTGCACCATTGAATCCACCACCTCCCTGGGGGAAAAAAAAAATAAGGATGTTTTTCATTAGATGATATGGCAGCCATGGAGGAAATTACAAGTCATTTTATTACCATATTTCGTACCATTCGTCTTTGCCATTTGAGTGACAACTCATCAATTCCAAGCAATATAATCATCACCTGGAAATGATAGGAGATGTAGTCTAACCAGTAGGCATGGGCGAGTTCGTTTGGAAGTTGCGGATGTCAGAACTAAAGTCGGAAGTTTCACACTTCCAAACTGGGTTCCGAAGCATACTTGCCAGTCGGAATTCCCCTGTAGTTTCGAAGCGACCCGGGCCATTGATTTCAATGGCTCAGAAGTCGATTTGGAAGTATGAGAAAGCCTTTTTGATGAAAGTAAGCCTGCTGGGAGGCATAGCCTAAAATGCTTGCCTCCCAGCCAATCAGGGCTTATGTTTTGTAAAGAGGATGGTTTCGCAACTCAGGATAGATTCACCTTGCTCAGAACACCACCACACACCAAGGCTGTAGGTTTTGTAGTTTATTGAAGAAAAAGCAAAATCATAAACATAGAAATAAGGTTGCAACAGTTCAATAGCCAAAACAGAGTCTTAAATGCAAAGGCAGAGTTTCCAAGGTCCAAAGGCAAATAACATGAAGTATAATCCATAAGCATTGGTCAAACAAGAATCCATGGCAGCATAACAGAGTCCCCAGAAACCAAGATCAAAACCAAAGTCCCAAAGAGCCAAAAGCTTTCCCCAAAAGCCGAGGCAATTCCAGAGAAGTTAACAGGGTGTAAGTAAAGTTGCACTGACAAAGGGTGGACTTCAATCAGATCGTTAAATATGCTTTCCTAGCATGAAAGCATTGCGTTGACCTTGAACTTCTCATTTGTTAGCAAACCAAACACTTCAACATACCCTTAATTGCAAACGGTCCTCCCTAACTAAATCCCCATCACCTTCAAGGCCYAATAACTCATTATCCTGGGACTGGCCAGCCTGGGAATCGACCGGCACTGAGCTCACAGATGGAGCGGTTGACTCCTCCACCTGCAGCTGTGAAGTTTCACTCAAATCATGACCATCTTCTAAAACAACATTCCTTTCCCTGGGAAACTGAAACGCCGCCTCGTCTTCAGTATCAACACTGTCTGCATCAACAACAGGGACATATTCAGAAATCTGTAACCCATCATCTTCTTCATCCTGAGGAAACTCAGGCTCAGAAAGCTCAGGCTCAGACTGAGCCACAACAGAGGGGTTTATCTAGCATCCGGCAGCCATTGCTGCATATAAACCCAAGTACATGGCTGGAAGGTTAATTCTAGCCAGGGAAAGGACGAGGGTGGTTGGGATCTTTTTGCTGCTGCTGCTGAGTGGGTGGGTGGAAGGGTAGGCAGGCAAAGGCACTGGAGCCAAAGGAAGTTTGGAGAAGGAAGGAGGGAAGAAGGAAGAAAAGCTTTTGGGAGAGGGAGGGAGAGAAGATAAAAAGAGAGAAAGAAGAAAGAAGGAAAGGTTTCGGAGGGAGAGAGAAAAATTAATAAAGTGACTGTGTGAAACCTGAGAGAAAGCCTTTCAGTGCTGGGTTTTGTTTTTTTTTTTGGGTTTTTTGGTCACTTTTATCTATTCTCTCTGAAAACTCCTGTGCTGAACCTCAACCCCCAGATGCCTTCCCCAAGTCAGGGGAAAGGCACCACAGTTGTTTTTTTCTTGGGATTCAACTGCCTCCTTTCTGTTTTTGGGTTGTGTTTTCAACATTATAACACTATTACTCTAAATTGCTCTAAACGGTTCTGGCCCTGCTTACCTGTCCAAACTTATCTCCCCCTTACAGAGAGAGGTCAACCCTCCTGTTTAAGGAGCTCCATGGGTTGCCGTTCATTTTCCGGTCCCAATTCAAGGTGCAGGTGCTCACCTACAAAGCCCTAAACGGTTTGGGACCTGCCTACCTGCGTGACCGCATCTCCGTTTATGAACCCACGCGCTCTCTCCGTTCATCTGGAGAGGCCCTGCTCACGATCCCAACTGCGTCGCAGGCGCGTCTGGTGGGGACGAGGGAGAGGGCCTTTTCTGTGGTGGCCCCCCGACTTTGGAATACCCTCCCCAAGGACATCAGACAAGCCCCTACGTTGGCAGTCTTTAGGAAGAGCTTGAAGACCTGGTTGTTCCGATGTGCCTTTCCAGAATAGGAAACCCCAGCAATATGTCCCAGAAGCACTTTATTAGAGATTAAAGATTGTCTGCACATTGCACTTACCCTAATATCCTACATTTCACCTGACATACTCAGCACTTTTTAATCTGTACCCATTACATTTGGCCCGGCCCTAGTTTTACTGTGGTATGATGTATTGTTACTGTTATTGCTTATGTTTTTATTTGCTTTATATTGTTTTTGTGTATTGTTATGTTGTTTTTAATGAGGCCTTGGTCTTTGTAAGCCCCATCGAGTCCTTCGGGAGATGTTAGCGGGGTACAAATAAAGTTTAATAATAATCTCTCTCCTTACGACCCCTCTAGGAATTTAAGATTTTCTGGGGAGGCCCTGCCATCTTCACAGGCTCAATTGGTGGGGATGAGGGATAGGGCCTTCTCAGCGGTGGCCCCTCGGTTGTGGAATGCCCTCCCCAGGGACATTAGATCAGCCCCCACCCTCTTAACGTTTCACAAAAAAGTTAAACCCTGGCTATATGAGCAGGCCTTCCCAAACGCAGTGTAGCTATTAAACTCTGATCTCGGAACGGTTTGACAACGTGACTGGATAATGACTGGTAATGAGAACCCCCATGCCTTGAAAGGACTTGCTGTCATGAGCCTCCCTCCAGCCTTACACGCTGTCCTTCACCCGCACATGTGTACCATGATGCCATGTGCCAAGCACACCTGCTCTCAATTCCCTGCTTGGAATCTCAGAAACAGCCCTTCCCTTGGCTGAGAGGCCGACCAATCACAATGGAGAAGGGCTTTGATTGGAGGATTTCACTGTCTGTTTCCAAAAGGGAAGAGAAGGACAGTCAGAGAGATCTTTGGCCTTCTCTGCCAAAGGGGTTCCCAAGACCATCAGAAATATATGTGTTTTTATTGTCTTTGGCAACCCCGACCCTCAGGTTGAAAAACGCTGCTTTAAAGCCTTTCTCTTGGTTACGACATCAAATGTACTCATATTCCACTGGTAGTTATTAATCCTTACATTTGCAAAGTTCTTTGCAATATATGTGTGTTCTTCCCATCAAAACATGTCTACTAGTAATATATTGCCCCCGTCTTCATTTTTATGAAGCTAACCAAAGTGCTTGGAGTAGATACTTTCCTGCCATCATCACTTCCATTTGTTTTCAGCTGAAATTCATTATTCCGATAAATATGAACCAAACCATCAAACAGCTAGCGCTAGCGCTCTCTCTCTCTATCTATAATGTATTTAAAGTACCTACAGTAAAATAAATTCCATCATTTAACTGTTGTAATCTCTGCTTCCATGATTCCTGCATAGTAACATGTAAGATCAGAAAGGTAAATCTAGTCTGGAAACAGGGAAGTAGCATAAAAGAACCTTTTCCAGAGGTGGAAATAATGTTGTCTTCCAGATGTCACTGGATGGCCCTACCCAGCGCTCCTGTGCTAGAAAGGTTTTCTGGAACTTATAGTGCAACAAAATCTGGAGACATGCATAATTCCCTCTTCTGCAAAAGACAATGCATAGCTTTTGAGCATGAAACCAGCACCACAGCCACAAGCCACCCATGATTCAGAAAGAAGCTAATGTTTGGCTGCTCCAGAGATGTGTACAGATCTTGAGTTCTAAGAATGTTGGACAACGTGACTGGATAATGACTGGTAATGAAATGCGGAGGACTTATGGTTTTTATTGTGTTTACTGATGTTAATTGTAATGAATTTTTTACCTGTGTTAAATGTTTTTAATGTTTAAATTATTTTTGTACGGTTGTGGGCATCGAACTGTGCCATTTTGTAAACCGCCATGAGTCGCCCTCAGGCTGAGAATGGCAGTATAGAAGCATAGTAAATAAAAATAAATAAATCTCGTGGACCTCAACACCAGTTGTCTTTGTATGTATTGATTATGACACTTGGAGACTGCTCTGAGTCCCCTTGGGGAGATAGAGCGGTATATAAACAAAGTTTTGTTGTTGTTGTCTTCCCTAAGTCAGGGGAAAGGAATCAAAGTTATTGGGGGGGGGGGTGTTCAACTGCCCCCCTTCTGTTTGAAGGGAGAGAAAAGCCTTTGAAGTTTCCCCATTGTCGGTACTGTTTTCCCCTATTGGGCATGCATATCTGCCGTTAACTAATTGATTCGGAAGTTTCAGAGAATTCGAAATATTTTTCGGAAAAATTCATACGTGACTTTAGAATCGAATCACCAGCGCCCCCTACTTTTGAACACAGTTTAAAACATTATTTTATTGCTTATGCCTACTAGCCAGACCTGATTTGGTTTTAAATTGAATTGATTTAAATTGCTTCTCTGAAGGACTTCATTTCAATGGATTAAAACACTTATGAAAGAGATTCCATATAATCAGTTTCAGTAGAAAAAGTGTTAACTTTATTTTAGCTTGATACATATTCAGCAACATAGATTTCATTAAAAGAGCGTTCATATGAATCAATTATGATGCTTGGTTTTCAGACTTATTTCCCATCTATCAAGAAAAGAGGTCCCTTTTATATTTACAGGTAGTCCCTGAGTTACAAACATCCAATTTACAAATGACTCATAGTTAAGAATGGGAGTGAGACAACAGAAAGTGAGAAAAATCTACCTCTCAGAAGGGAAATTCACTCCAAGAAGAGTTAGTATCATAGGGAAAGGGGGTCTCCATTGAAGCTTTATCATCAATTCTCGTTTTCACAAGGAGCCAAAATTTTCAAAATCCAAGTCTCACAGGGACAAAAAGTGAGACAAAATCTTCTGAACAGGGGCACAGACAGCAAAACAAACATCACAGGAAAGGTGGTCACCCTTTCCTATGCTATCCAAACCTTTAAAAACGGTGTGTATG